GCCAATGGGAATGGGGAACTCCTCACTTAAAAAGAAGAAGAATCTGCTGGCATATTAATATATATAGCACTATAATGTTGTGCAAGTTTCCTAAGCATAAATACATTGCTGTATCTCACAACTATAGCAAGTGGCAAGTTAAAGCTGCAGTTGAACTAAAGTGAGCCTATCAAACATTTTACTACCATGTATTCTGCAATGAAGTGTGCCGAGGCCACCCCACGTTTACTGACTGACTGGTTTTTCATACCTCCTATCCCTCACAGCAACAGTCTTCAGTCAAGGAAGCAGGAAGCCCAGTTTGAGAGAAAGTAAAGGAGATTAATGAGGCACCATAGCACAGATTCCACTTAGCAAACTTCAATAATAAATGTTTTGTGCAGACAGACAGTTATGGAAATCATGTTTGGATTAAACTTGATCTATTTTAACACATTGAGGAAAAGAATTTAAATTGTCTAACTCAATAACAGAATTAAAATCCTGATGCAAAATTTGAGTATTCTAAAAATAATGCACTTCCTTGTTAGCGAATGGATGAACTGACCTAAGTTTTTAAAAACAGCTTATTAACATTCCTGTTATTCAATCACAGAATTATAGAACTGCAGGGTGACCCACGAGGATCATCTAGTTCAAGCCCCTTGCAATGCATAGGAATGATTGGCATATGACACATTAATACCAACACACTTTAACAAGGAAGTGAATTGATGGGATTTATTTCCAGGAGAGTAATCAACTGGACACTTCAGAAATCTGCCTGCTAGTTTAGCCTACAATCCCATAACCATTACCTGGGAGTAAACCCTACGGAACTCAATGGGAATTACTTCTGAGTCAACATGTATAGGATTGTACAGTATGGTCTTAAGCACCTGGGCCCTGCATCTCAGTACTAACGTAAGCAAGAAATTCAACTAAACCAACATGGCATGCATTTTAACCTCAAGTTGTTTTTGCTGGATTTCTCTTCTGTTACCCTCATGTTCTTTCATACACACATGCATACGCACATATATAGCAGCTAATTCAAACTTTCATTTGCACAAGCTCAAGGCTATGGCTTACCACAAAGCCTCAATCATACCACTTTACACTGACATATCTAAAAGGTAGATAAAACCAACTGCAGGAGTGCATCTTCCTCACCGCTTTCTGCATCTAACAGGAAAGATGGTATCAGCAACTAGTGGTTCTGATAATACCAGAAAGGCCCAAATCAGAGGAACCCCACAAGACCCAATTAATAAACCCAAGTCTATGGATATAGACACTAAAGCTAGTTAGTAATTTCTGCTAGCTTTCATTGACATCCACTGTTGTGTACACACCAGAGCCTCATACCTCCCAAGTGACTTCACAAGGAAATGATGAAGGCCTATTTCTGATGCTGCAAGAACAAGAGGATTAACTCATATACACCTGCAACATTGGGCTATTATCTGAAAAGCTGGGAAGCCTATCTAATTGAATGCAATTCTAGATATGCCTGCAACAGAAAACACTTCTACTTTAAAAAAAAAATCCACTCAAAAAACCTCCATACCTATTTTATTAAAAGTCTAACCTGATTTTTGTGACCTGGCCTGTGTCTACAGATTTAAGCAGTACATATGAAATAAACGTTGGGTTCAGTTCCTTGATTCTGTACACACATTATGCACCAGGTTGGTGCACAGATAACGTTATTGCAGGTCAGAGTTGGGTTGCCTTTTTTGTCTTCCCCAGAAACTACAATGATGCTGTTACAGACCGAAACCTGGTACACGAATGCCATCATTGTATTCTGTTCCAGGAAAAATGGGAGAAACAAACAAAAATGATCACATTTGAAGAATAAGGCCTTGTTGTATGGGTACTGGTTGTTGGATGCAGTACACGTACTCAAATTCACATTCAACATGGGAACTGCACTGATTTACATACTGATCTCTGCCCCTCCCAACAGCAGGCATGAGATTAGTGGTATTAAATCAATAAAAAAACAGTCCAGCCAAGAGACTAGAAAGAATGCTGTGCACAACCAACCCATTTCATACCTGTCTTCTGTGCATACTATTCCCACATTTTCTGTTTAGAATTTAGCTTTAGGACCAATCATTTAGAAGGATGCCACTTGGACATCAATACATTCTGCTGCCTGGCCCCTTTGGGGGCAACTCTAGGGCTGAGCAGACAATTCCTCTTGTGCTTCCCAAGAATAATGTTTTCAGTGGTGCAAATGGGAGTTAGTGATGACAAAGACAAATAAGGCATTATATATCTAAGCTTGAATCCAGAGATCCTATGAATGTAGCTCTTCTCAGAGGATTCTCCAGTAGGCAGAAGAGACATGTGATTTTATTCAAGCCTTCCTTCATTCCCCAGAAAATCTACTCCTAGAGGTTGGCTTTTGAAAGCCACACATAGTCCAATAAAACACTTTGCTTGCAGGAGAAGAAGGACCTCTTTAAACCACAGTGTAAGAATTTTGCTAAGAGAAATCTCTGTATGATTAACAAAATAGTACATGTAGCTGTCCTGGTAATGGATAGCTGGGAAATTAAAATACATAGATAACACTAAGATCTTCAACCAATAGGCACAGATGAAAACACTATCTCTAATTAAATGTAATACCAGACATACTGTTCCCCTTACAGAATTCTTTACAAGCTCTGATTATTGTTCATGAGTAGTATGAAAGCTAAGATTCAGACAGCAGAACAAATAGCTGTCCTGAAAGCATTCCCATAGTTCCCCACGTGGTTTCGCACTCCAAACCCTGTACTCATTTCGATCCATCGTGACCGATGGACCAGGCCACATTGCCCACCACCCCCCCACCTGACCCCAAACCACGACTGTCGCCAGGAGCCCATCCCCACAAACACCCACCATCACACAACAACACCCAATACAAACAAACCACACAACACACACCCAACACACAAACAACCAAAACGACCCAAACCACACAAAAACAACCCACCACACACCACCCAAAAACCAGGTCACCGTATTTGGTCCCTGAACACAACCCTCCAAACTTGAGCTGTGGTGGAGTGTTGTCGGACCAGCAGGCTGGTCCACAACAACTCCACCACAGCCCAAGTTGGGAGGGTTGTTTCAGGGACCAAATATGGTACCGGCTCCTGGCACATCAGTGGGGTGGGAATTGCTGGTCCACCACATCAAACAGTTTGAGAAACACTGGACTAGGGAATGCTTTCAGGACAGCTATTTTTCTGCTGTCTGAATACTTAGCTTTCAATACTACTCATGAAACAAATAATCAGAGCTTGTAAAGAATTTCTGTAAAGGGGAACAGTATAGTCTGGTATTACATTTAATATAGAGATAGTGTTCTTCATTGTGCCTTATGGTTGAAGATCTTTATGTTATACTACTGATATTTATTCCCAGCTCATCCATAACCAGGACAGCTACATGTACTATTTTTGTTAATCAATACAAGATTCTCTTAGCAAAATTCTTACACTGTGGTTTAAAAGAGGTCCTTCCTTCTCCTGCATAGCAAAGTGTTTTATTGAACTATGTGCTGCTTCAAAAGCCAACCCTCTAGAGTAGATTTTCTGGGGGAATGAAGGAAGGCTTGAATAAAATCACATGTCTCTTCTGCCTACTGGAGAATCCTCTGAGAAGAGCTACATTCATAGGATCTCTGGATTCAAGCTTAGATATATAATGCCTTATTTGTCTTTGTCATCACTAACTCCCATTTTGCACCACTGAAAACATTAATTCTTGGGAAGCACAAGAGGAATTGTCTGCTCAGCCCTAGAGTTGCCCCCCAAAGGGGCCAGGCAGCAGAATGTATTGATGTCCAAGTGGCATCCTTCTAAATGATTGGTCCTAAAGCTAAATTCTAAACAGAAAATGTGGGAATAGTATGCACAGAAGACAGGTATGAAAATGGGTTGGTTGTGCACAGCATTCTTTCTAGTCTCTTGGCTGGACTGTCTTTTTATTGATTTAATACCACTAATCTCCATGCCTGCTGTTGGGAGGGGCAGAGATCAGTATGTAAATCAGTGCAGTTCCCATGTTGAATGTGAATATTGAGTACGTGTACTGCATCCAACAACCAGTACCCTACAACAAGGCCTTATTCTTCAAATGTGATCATTTTTGTTTGTTTCTCCCAATTTTTCCTGGAACAGAATACAATGATGGCATTCGTGTACCAGGTTCTGGTCTTGTAACAGCATCATTGTAGTTTCTGGGGAAGACAAAAAAGGCAACCCAACTCTGACCTGCAATAACGTTATCTGTGCACCAACCTGGTGCATAATGTGTGTATACAGAATCAAGGAACTGAACCCAACGTTTATTTCATATGTACTGCTTAAATCTGTAGACACAGGCCAGGTCACAAAAATCAGGTTAGACTTTTAATAAAATAGGTATGGAGGTTTTTTGAGTGGATTTTTTTTTTAAAGTAGAAGTGTTTTCTGTTGCAGGCATATCTAGAATTGCATTCAATTAGATAGGCTTCCCAGCTTTTCAGAATTAATAGCCCAATGTTGCAGGTGTATATGAGTTAATCCTCTTGTTCTTGCAGCATCAGAAATAGAGCCTTCATCTTCATTTCCTTGTGAAGTCACTTGGGAGGTATGAGGCTCTGGTGGTGTCACACAACAGTGTGATGTCAATGAAAGCTAGCAGAAATTACCTAACTAGCTTTAGTGTCATATATCCATAGACTTGGGTTTATTAATTGGGTCTTGTGGGGTTCCTCTGATTTGGGCCTTTCTGGTATTATCAGAACCACTAAGTTGCTGATACCATCTTTCCTGTTAGCATGCAGAAAGCGGTGAGGAAGATGCACTCCTGCAGTTGGTTTTAATCTACCTTTTAGATATGTCAGTGTAAAGTGGTATGATTGAGGCTTTGTGGTAAGCCATATGCCTTGAGCTTGTGCAAATGAAAAGTTTGAATTAGCTGCTATATATGTGCGTATGCATGTGTGTATGAAAGAACATGAGGGTAACAGAAGAGAAATCCAGCAAAAACAACTTGAGGTTAAAATGCATGCCATGTTGGTTTAGTTGAATTTCTTGCTTACGTTAGATACTGAGATGCAGGGCCCAGGTGCTTAAGACCATACTGTACAATCCTATACATGTTGACTCAGAAGTAATTCCCATTGAGTTCCGTAGGGTTTACTCCCAGGTAAGTGGTTATGGGATTGTAGGCTAAATCTAGCAGGCAGATTTCTGAAGTGTCCAGTTGATTACTCTCCTGGAAATAAATCCCATCAATTCACTTCCTTGTTAAAGTGTGTTGGTATTAATGTGTCATATGCCAATCATTCCTATGCATTGCAAGGGGCTTGAACTAGATGATCCTCGTGGGTCACCCTGCAGTTCTATAATTCTGTGATTGAATAACAGGAATGTTAATAAGCTGTTTTTAAAAACTTAGGTCAGTTCATCCATTCGCTAACAAAGGAAGTGCATTATTTTTAGAAATACTCAAATTTTGCATCAGGATTTTAATTCTGTTATTGAGTTAGACAATTTAAATTCTTTTCCTCAATGTGTTAAAATAGATCAAGTTTAATCCAAACATGATTTCCATAACCTGTCTGTCTGCACAAAACATTTATTATTGAAGTTTGCTAAGTGGAATCTGTGCTATGGTGCCTCATTAATCTCCTTTACTTCTTCTCAAACTGGGGCTTCCTGCTTCCTTGACATGAAGACTGTTGCTGTGAGGAGATAGGAGGTATGAAAAACCAGTCAGTCAGTAAACGTGGGGTGGCCTCGGCACACTTCATTGCAGAATACATGGTAGTAAAATGTTTGATAGGCTCAACTTTAAGTTCAACTGCAGCTTTAACTTGCCACTTGCTATAGTTGTGAGATACAGCAATGTATTTATGCTTAGGAAACTTGCACACATTTATAGATGCTATATGTATTAATATGCCAGCAGATTCTTCTTCTTTTTAAGTGAGGAGTTCCCCATTCCCCATTGGCTACAAAAAAAGCACATGTACACTTGCTCTCTCAACACCTACTGGCATGTGCAAGTATGTCCTTGCTCTCTTGCATTCACACATTCAGGCTCGCAGATACATGTGCGTATGCTAGCATACTCCTATATGCACACTGATCTACACATTCTTTCTCATGCCCAGAAATGTTTTCTCAATTGCATGCAGACCTGCACATCTCCCTTCAGTATTGGCTTGTTTTTGCTAGTTACTTTTGCTGGATTTTGTGACCCAGCTACATCACATAGTGGTAATTCAAGCTACAGTCAAGGCTGTATTCCTGCCCTTATTGAACCTTGTACACATCCTATGCATGTTAGTGCTTCAGAATAATGAGGTGATATATTTTGACCCTTGACCTAGCAATCAAAAATATGAATACATGGGAAATATTTTGCGGCTAGTCACCAGCATTAAAGGAAGGGGTTTTAGTATAATTGTAAAAACAAGGGCATTTGTAGACCAAAGAAGCTGTTTGTCAGATGCAGACTTGCTCAGCGGCTCAATTTGGAGTTAAGTTCAGAAGCCCTATCCAATGACTAATCTATTGATATTGCAATATTAAATGTCATTGTTTATGTGAAATGTTTCATGTAGGGAAGAATATGTTATATTTTTTGGTTCTGGTTTATTTTGGATGCTTTCAATACAGTAATATATGTTCTCTTGCCGACAAGAGTGTTTTTTGTGTGTTTGTTTATCTCTCAGGTAAGCGCAGAGCACTGAAGTTGAATTTTGCAAACCCACCTTTCAAATCCACAGCGCGATTTACATTGAACCCTGGAGTTCCTTTTCAGAATCCACACATGTGAGTATAAAGCCAGAAATTCCACCAGATGGAACCATTTTGAAGTAGGAAGATAAAGCACTTTCCTTTGTCACACAAATTTTGTAGGCAGTTCAAAAGATAAAATTGTAGTCTGGACTGAGACGTAGGATGTTCTGTTTATGTAACATTTTCTCATGTATTTTTGGAACTTCAAATCAGCTGTTTTACGTAAAGGCTTAAAGCAAGACTACTCCTTTGAACTGTACAAAAAAAAAAGTCCTGTCATTTGCTGGCAAGTCATCTCCATATGGCAGGGGTAGCTTACCTGTGGTCCTCCAGATATTATTGGACTACAAATTCCCATCAGCCCCAGTCAGCGTGACCAAATGTAGCCCCACGCTGCCAAACACAGTTTAGCCACTCCTGCCTCATGGTTAATCTCATTCATGGACTGCATAAACCTATGCCTGCTGCTTTTCAAGTTTGCAAAGTTTTTATTCCTGTATTTGTTTTTAAGATATTTGTGTGAGACATCTTAGTTTTAAAATTGAGGGGACTGTTTTTTTAGAAATCTAAGAGGTGGTGAGAAGTTACTAGAACCCTGTAAGTCTCCAAGAAAGGTGTTACGGACAGCCTTATATACAGATTCAGTGTAAAGTGGAGTATCCAACAATTGGTTGTTTAATGCAGCAGAATGTCTCTTGAAATACAAGCCTTGTGTCCTCAGATCCACCAATCTGGACTGATGGGTGACTTCTCAGGCTGTCCAGTCAGCATCTCCTTTATATTCCCTTGTGAGGTTTTTGAAATCCGGCAGAGTAAAAATCCTCAGAGCTTTGTGCCTGTCATTCCTCCAGTTGCTTGTACTTCCTTTGGACAATTCTGCCATGTATGTGTGTCTGTATGTTGCGGCTTTGTTCATATAGCTCAGAGCTTTCTATTTCCTATGAATATATCAGTTTCATTTTCTTATTTAGAAACTCTTCCTTGTTTTGATTCTAAAGCTATCCAAGTAATTATAGATGGACTTTGGAAAAGTATTCCTGTTACTTATAAGGTCAGTTCTGGAAACCAGAAGATGCAGATATTTCAGTAGACATTCTTATAAGATGTCCAATTTCTCATCCAAAAAGAAGAGAAGCAAGGTTCAGCCTGCAGAGTTCTTGCATCCAGCAGTACTACCATTTATAAAATGCCATATTAATTTAAGGACTTAGGACTTATCCCCATGTTAGAATATATAAGCTAGCTGGACACAATCTTTTCACAATAACCTCATAGGTCCTTTCTCTATGTAGTGGTTCTGCGCAACTTTTGTCTTTCAACTTTTTCTCTTTGATAGATTTCACCTTCATAAGACCTTTATTCTTAGTAAGTTAACTCATCACCTTCTACTGACTTTCTTTAATAGTGATATTTTTCATCCAGTGACTTTCTGAACTGGAATTTCTGTAGATAATAGCTGTTCTTGTCTGTCAGTTCTTCTTGCATCTAATAATAAAATCCCTAGTTTCAGGCTCATCAGGCAGCTGGTGGTATTGCTTTGAACTTCAGACTATTTTGATAAAGTAGGTTGGCCAAGGGGAGAAATAAGTTTTTTCTGCAACAGCCAGCTTCCCAAATATTGTGTTGGGGGTTTTTCTATACCACCCACTGTATAGATAAATATATCCTACATTTGACACTGAACATCATCAATAATCTGTTTTGAGAATAAACTTGTTATGTGGTCTGTGAAAGGAAGCCTGTTTCTATCGTAAAATCTGTGTTGGGTAGTTCTTTTGAAATAGGAAAGGCTTGTTTTATCCATTTGTCCCCCTCACCTTTACAAACTCCTCATTTAGTATTTAGGCTGCAATCCTATACCAGCTTACCTAGGAACAAGCCTCACTGAAGCCAGTGGAGCTTACTTCTGAGTAGTCTTGTCTAGCATTGCACTGCGAGTGTTCAGTGGTTAATTTTCTTATCATCTTATGTCTCAGATTTATGAAGGTTTTCTTAGGAGCTGGTATGTTAACAAGTAAGGATCATAACATCTAAAAAAAATCAAATTCTTTTTGAAAATCTTTTGCTAATGTGGGTTTTTCTAATATGTCATTCTTCTTCTAGACACCTTTTCTTGTGTTGGATATTTACTTTGTTACCTGGTATGGAAGTCCATATGTGCTATGAATGAGGCCATTTGTTGTTACTGGATTAAATCTTGATTTCCAGTCATTGTAGATAGTGCTTCATTAGTTGGTTATTATTCTTCATTCTATGAGTTGGTTGTTACTCTTCATTCCGGATAAAATAGCAGCCTAAACATAACTGTCTTGATTAGATTTTGGGGATGTAGTTTGTCATCCCATTCATCTAGATGGGTAATGCTGAAATTTCAGAGAGGATATTTTCTCCTGTGGAGGCTAGGCATTTGGGCTTAGTTTTGAAGGCTTTATCCTATTTTTCTAAACGATTTGAAATGTTGGACAATTTGCTTGATCTTTGTGTCCTTAAAGCTAATGGCAGTCATTGGTTATACTGCTCCTTACCCACATTTAATTGCCCCTTAGGCATACTTCGTTGGGTTCACAGGTTGTGTTCAGGGGCTTCAGTGATGGAATCTTCAGATAAGAAATTGCAGCTTTTATTACAGGCAGGTTGAGGAAAGGAATGGATCTTTAAAGCTCTTCATTCCAAGATTTTCTCTGTCCAGAATTCAACTGCCCCCCAAAAAACAGCTATGGAGGAGATTACCAAAACACATTGTTCAGGTGAAAAGTGGTTTCAGAAGGGGATAAATATACTTGGTGATAAGTATCAATGTGTGCTTGCGGGCTTCTCTGTTTATAAGGAAGAACTGGTTTTAGCATAATGTTAGCTTTCTTTCTGTAGAATTTGTGGTTGGCTACTTTATTCAAGGTGAAGCTGGCTGGTATGTTCTGCAGCCAAATGTAAATTAGGCATAAAGCTTTGTGGAAAACTGCTGCCAGTGTGCCCACCACCAGGTTAGAGTTTATTCACACTTTATTGCACCGTCTTGTGCCTTCTCCTGTCACCTTGGCTAGTTTAAGGAGCAGAGCTCTTTATGTGTGTTGTTAAAGTTACTTTATGTGCTAACATTGTGGTTGAAATGATGTTACATACATGTAATTGTAATATGTCTGTATTGGTCCTATAGTTTTAACTTGATAAATTTAAGACTAGTTACTCTGACTTGATGTTTTATGGTGTGTCTAGGTCCTTGCCAACGCTTGAATTAGATCTCCTGAATTAGCAGTTACCTCAGATGCCACATGTATATAAAGGCAACAACTTATTTGCGCATGTTTCTGCACATGCGCATCAAATTGACCTGGAAGTGGCTGGAAAAGGAGGCATAATGTGGCAGTGTGGGCTTATGTGTGCTCCACCATCGTGCACACCCCCCACACAAATCGGGGGGTGCCTGTAATTCTTCTGTGTAGTATAGATTGACAGAGATTCTCATTTTGTGTTTTGTAAACAGTGTAGTACTTCATTTTCATAGTTTCACCATAGAATATTAACATAGCAACAACTTCCACAGTGGGAAGGTTCACATAAGTCCTATGATAGATCAGTATTGTTACTACTCGCTCTTCCATTTCCCCCTCCTTTTTTTCTACCTCTGGCTTGACTTGGGTTCTTCTGATTTGGATGGATTAGGGTCATTTTTTTCCATAGATTGATTGTAGATTATTCTGCAATAGAGGTGGTAGATATACAGTCTTCCATGCACATGAGTCTGTTGCTTAATTCTAGGTAAACTATACAGTAAGATACAGAATGCACAATAACATTTGTAGACCCTAGGGGCTGTTCTGGTACTGTGGTGATTTATGTTTGACTCACAATTGTTGCAGCCCTGGTTGGGTATTTATATCATATATGGAGCCCTGTTAATGAGTCCTGGAGGCTGCTATAGTGAACCATGTTGAGACTAGAAATATTTCATTTTCCTTGGTGGTTTGCTGCCATATTGCAAAAGATCAGACATAAGAGTTTCCGCTTCCCAAAGCACAACTGGGAGATACAACACTTTGCCAGAACAGCAGCAGGCATGCTTCTTCCCTGTTGTAGTGCAGCTGTGTTTGTTGCACAGTGGCTGCAGAGAGTGAGTGGGCTTTCTTAAAAGTAAAAGGCCAGGTTTAGCTGCTTCAGCTACTGCAGATTGGTAAGCTCTGGCATTCATTGGGGTGGAATCTACACACAGGTTAAAAACGTTGTGAAAATGCTTTTTCTAAAATCGTTTTGAAAAATGCATGGAATTTGCTATAGCTCACAGTCGGCATCTAGTGTCACAATTGTGTATTGCACTTTACAACACATTCAAAACATTTTGTTTGCAGCTGTATAGCTAAGTCCTCCAGATCTCCAGATTGTATTTCTTTGCAAGAAGTGAGATACAGACAGATACTTTCAAGCTGACCATCACCTTGTTACATTTCATCAGAAAGAATTCTGCTTAATTCTTGAACCCCAATAGTTCACAGTTCCTGCTAAGTCTTTTACACAGCACTTTTCTTGCTATACGCTATAAAACTGACAGCATTGAGGGGAAGTGAATGTGGCTAGAAAGCTCGAAAGGGGTTTGCAAGTGATCCAGATCAACATCTTTACTACGTTCATAAGTCATTAGTTTCTCTTTGAATACAGAATTGTTGAGGCCATCCAGGTTACATAGATGAGTTGCATGTAGAGGAATAAGTTACTGCAGTTGGAGCATGGCTTCCTAAGATAGGCACTAAGATCCAAAGTACACACTTCAAAACTTGATGAAATTGAACCAAAGTTCTTGATTCTGAAGGCTGCAGCATGGATGGCATTGCGTTAAATCTTCAGGTCTTAAAAAAACAAAATAAAATCAGAGCAAGGGAGATTTGGCCATAATTAAATCATGTCTGCTGGAACATGACTTTAATCCCGAAGTACCTAATGATTCTGTGCATCTAGAATAGAAGAGCAAGTACTAGACTGGCAAGTTCCCCCTAAGCTTTCTTCTTCAGAGTACCTGTGTTGAACAGCCCCAGAATATTCTAAAACTCTAGCTGGAGAACTGCCCCCCCCAATGTCCTTTTCATGCAGCTTCAAACTTCTCCTCAAGGGTTGGGGCAGGCACCATCCAACTCAGGTTTTTCTTTTTCCTTGACGAAGGTTCAGGATTTAGAAAAGTAAAATCTATTCAGAGAGAATTAATTCCAGTACATTTTTTTGACAAGAATTATAGAATTATTATATTTGAATAAAGACTGTCTCCATGCCAACCATTACAGTTCGCTTTATTTCACAACAGAGATCGCCGGAATGATTATCAGATATGGTGAGCTCATCTCCACTGTCTTAGACAAGGTTCCTTATCATTTTACTCTTCCGAAGGATGCTTTCATATACACGTTGCTTTAGGAACAGTGGTACAACCCTCACAGTTGCCTAAGGCATTATTTATCCTGTGTATCTCACCTTAGATCCTTGAAGAAGATGCCTTAAGGACTTTGTTTCTTCTCTTACTTTTTTGAATTTCTAGGAACGGTCATTGTATCCACCCCCCATTCCTATTGGAAACCTCAACACCACTGAGAGATCAGAATAATTTACTTTCTCTCTTCTTACTTGTGAGCCTCTGGTTGGATTTTCCTTTTTTGTGGGGCGGGAATCCTAAGAAGCAGATCAGAGAAGCAGCATGGCAGATCTCTGTGTCCCCCTCTCTGTCTCTCCTTAATTAGCAGAGGACTCAAGGAGATTTGGATACATCCCTTTTCCTAACAGTCTTGACTTGACCGTTGGTTTTTATGTATGTAAACATACTGAATCTTCCTCCCCTGTTTGTTCTGCCCCTGCAAAGGGGTAGGTTTTGTTAAGTGTTAGAAGAGGAGATTTCTTACCTGGAAATACTTGTGAGAGATTCGGATCCAGAAACTTCCTTGTTCCTCACACAATCACAGAGTGGACAGTGAAAGCTAGCTTCTAGCTCTTCCAGTTTCTTAGGGAAGAATTCAGTTCACTCCGATCTAAATAAGTAGGGTAATAGTTACTTCTCCTGATTGGTGGATCCAAGACACAAGCACTAGTTTTCAGGTAAGAAATTTACCTTTATCAAAACATAATGAAGCAATGTAGTGGTAAGCAATGTAGCAAATTGTGACAAAGAAGGTCAGTGGCACTAATTAGTTGATTTTAGCTAGCAATTTTATTGCAGGTATGTAGTTCATAGGACAAAAGGAAACACTGCACCTGAAATTAAGGCTTGCATGCTATTCCTAAATGGTCTTGCTTGGAGGTAAGCCCCATTTATTTCCGAGGGATTTACTCTCAAGTAAGGTGATTATAGCCTTCCATGGCTTTCATGCATTAGTATGAGTGGTTTCAAAAAGGCTTTAAATGAACTGCCACACACTTTGCTTTTTTTTCCTTTTTCCAAAAAGAGAGGTATAGACTAGCCCTTAACAAGGAACTGAAATGTGCTCATTTTGTATATAAAAGGCAGTCTGTCTTTTCAGTTACTATGTGTGTATGTGTTATTGTGTCATGTGATAACAGCACTGTGTTTTCCTGTCATTTTTACAACTCTTTCCTGGCTGAAGTGATACACAAGCAACAATGGGTAGTAATCACATTGCCCCGTTCACTTTCAAAAGGAGAGAAGCGGAGATGATCGTGAAACTTTCCAGCAGGCTACAGTAAGCGTGACTGTCTGTTAGCCCCGTTGTCAGATATTTTCATAATAGAAAAAGCAAAAGAAAGAAAAAGGCATGAACACCAATATAGATCCTTGCAGAAATTTGTCATATTATGAGTGAATTAATATATATATATATATTTAAATTAATTATTAAATACTTTCAACATATATTTCATTATTATTGTTTAAAGCTTATTGCTGCATTCGTACTAGCAATTCCCAATGTTCTGTCCCAGCTGACTGTCATTGGCTCTAGAAAGACAGTGTATTTTTTTTTTTAAGAGTACTGGTATTCAGAGGGTGACTCAGTGTTAGTTTACAAAAACCTCTCCTTTTAAAACCATAAACATATAATTCTCAAGCATGGTTGACCATAATGGATGGAGTTGATGCAGGTGTTATAAGGTTGTTGCATATTGCCTCCAAAAAGCCTTCACTGATAGAACAGCTCTAAAACCTGTGAATCAAGTGATCTTTTGTGAAGTATTATTTTATTTTTGTAGCTGCCATACTTCCAACACCTATTGATCTGTAAAACTGCCCCCCCCCCAACAATTACCGTAATGGACCAGTGAAAGTGAAACGTATGCTTCTGGTGAAGTAAGCCTGAGGCACAATTGAGGTAGAATCTACACGCTTATAAAAACTGTTCTGAAAACGTTTTTTAAAAGTGTTTTTTAAAAAAATACATTGAATTTCCCGTAAGGCTCACCATCACCAACTAGTGTCACATTGTATATTGCACTTAAAACACACTTAAAATGTTTTATTTGCAGCTGTATAGATGAGTCCCAAGGCAACTGAAGAGTTACCGTCCATTGCATGGGTGTTAGATTTTGTTCTGAATCTTCTTAATTCATAAGTAATTCATATTGGCTTTGAGTACTTCTAAAACATTTTAACATAACATTGTAGCGAGTCGTGGAGGATACGGAAACATTCTGAGAAGATCAAGTATTTTCATCAATTTGGCGCAGTTCATCAGGTCCAAATTTCTGAGTCGGGCAATGCAGTACATTTCTGGGTAGCTAAAATGGTGTGACCTTAAAGCTACTCGCCCAAACAATGCAAATAACTGTGCTAGTTCCATGTTTACCCTTCCAGGAGAATAAAGAGTCTTCTCTAAGGTCCCCTACCTCATACTTTAAATAGTTAAACTTGTAATTTAGGAAATTAAACCAATCCTCATATAAAGGAAATTGTATTTTTATACCCTATTTTAGATCGGACTTAAAACTCCATAAAAAGTTATAATAAAAGAATCTATTTCCTTAAAATATTTTTTGCTGAATGTGACATTGTAACTTAGAGGTTTGGGGTAGCAGACTGCAGGCCTCTGGGGACTACTTTGTTATTTTCTTAGATCCCATGAACTGGAGACAGGTATAAAAGATTTATAACTGAAGTGTGTTAAGCCCAGGAATTTGCCTTTAAGTTTTGGAACTGAAAAGAGCCTCTAGTGCTTCCTTACAAAAATATACTTGGTCATATATCATCCTCCCCCCCCCCCACAAGCTTGGTTTCCACAGGGATCATTTTGTTGTTGCCGTTGTTTGTTAAGTTGAAAGCCAGTCTTTGTCAATCTACTTCACATCCCCCAGGGATCTGTCAGTAGATTCCAATTTAACTACTCTGCTATCCCAAACAAGGTTATTGGGCTCATCACGTTCAAATCACTGATTTTGTTATGTCATCCCATATATATATATATATATATATATATATATATATATGAGAGAGACACATCAGTACCCCTCCATGCTATAATTGCCTGAAGAAGGCTTCACTTTGCTGGTCTTATGCGCAGAATCAGGCACATCACTAGCTCTGCTCCCTGGGCATCCATGCATAAGATTCTCCTCCGCAGAGATTGGGGTCTCATGCCATGACTATGATGCTTTGCCTTGAAAAGTGGCAATGCTTACAGGATGCGTTTACATCGTTTAATATATTTCATTGTTGTGATGAAGAGGGATAGGCAATTTTGTCCCAAAGCTTTTCTGCTTCAGTTTTTAGGCATCTGCAGCAGTATGGATGTCATTTACCAGCACAACTGTAATACCTCTTGTGCCAGTGCTGGAAAATCTGGGCAAAGCAAACAAGAATGATCAAGCAGGATTCAAGAGTGCCTGTTGTCTTGCCAGGGCAGCAATATTACTTGATGCCTTGCCTCTTGGGAAAGAAATACTGTCTCTGATTGTTGGCTGTTGATGGTCTCACTCCTGTGAAATTATTTCTGTGTCCTTTCAGTTGCTGGTAGTTTGTTCATATATTTTTTTGTCATACTATAAAATGTGGCAAATGATTTTACTAGCGTAAGCGCTTACAAGTGTTGCAATAATGGCTTTCAAGCTCCATAGCACTCCTTCTTGTAGTAAATCTGCCCCCTTAGGATGAAGGCCTTTTAAAATGTTCTTTTGCCATAGATTTGACTAATGGTTCCATTGTCTGTTGCAAAGTGTACTGTTATAACCACAGCACGTACACATATTTTCTGTAGACCTGGAAAGAATTAAAACTGGCTTCTTTTGTTAATCTATAAATTCTGAGATCTGTTGTATTGATAATTGCCCTCCATCGAGTTGGCTTTCCAAACCCTTAAGAACAAGGTACTGCTATGTTATCTTCCTGTACTAGAATATTGCTTTGTAGCCTTGCAGTGTGCTGTGTTAAGGTTTTACTACTCCACAGAGATCCTGGGCTCATAGATCTCTCATTCACAAGGACCCCTTCTACATAATGCCCTGATTGGTGACAATGGAATCAGTAAAACATTAACGTATGATATTTCTGATGAGGGGATTTAGAGCTATTGTGATATTGCCATAAAAGCAGCTCTTTCCCCCAGTACTATTAGTCTGTGTGGAACAGTAGTGATCAGAACTGGGATCCCACAGGCAATGTGTGATTGGCAACACTGATCACCTGCAGATGCCTTTGTATAGAAGTCCTCTGTGCATAATTGCCCTGTCAGTATTTCTCATTGAGTCACAAACAGTTTTATCACCCTTAGAACAAGAATGCTAAAGTTTGGGGTTTTAGCTGGAGCTGTATACCTGTCCCAAACCTTTGAGTTCTGTTTCAGCAGCTGTCTAGCAACTTGTATGCCTTCTAGATTGGCCTTATTAACTAGCACATGGTTCTCATTCTACAAGAAACTGAGGCATATCCTTGTAAATTCCCCAAATCTGATGGCTTACTTTAGCAGAAGGTAAGATGGAAAAAATGAAATACTCCTCTCCAGAGAGTCAGAAACGTTTAAAACAATAAAATAAACAGGCAATATGCCTATAGAAAAAGAAAGGTCTGCTATGAACCAGCAGCTGCACTAATCAACTAATCTTGTCTGAATTAGATTTAAATTCCTTTAGCTCCATGCAGTGCATTACCAGTCTCAGTCACTGATTCTGCTAGGACTGAAATGGAAATGAGAGGTGGGAGAGGTGTTCAGGTCCTTGTCTGAACATGTAAGCACCAAATTGTGTAGGGATTCTGGGTCCAGTGTACAAGCCCTGCCCCCTAACTTCATCATGCACACTTCCCTCATTCAGTCCCTGACCTTCTCTTGTGTAGGGAAGGTCTGTGTAGGGATGCTCCTCAGGTGAATGCAAGTACAACTCTCTTCGTGATCAGTCATGTTCAAGTGAATGTGGGTAGAATCCCTATACAAGATGGGAACGTTTGGAGACTGAGTAGAGAAGGGGCGTGTGCAGTGACATTGAGGGTCAAGCTTGCATTCATGCTTCTGTCCCTCTATGTGGTTTGGCACTTTTGTAGTCATACCTATACACAGTTGGAGTTGGGTGTTATCAACTCTTGATGACATAGCACTCCAAAAACACTGAATAATCTTGTGCAGTGGTTTCTCGTAGATGTCAGACACCATGAGGCACAGAATCGAACTTTTCTCCCTTGTTGGATATTCTTCAGTAATGTTAATTTAAATTTGATATGTATATTTTAAACACTGTTGTGCACCACCCTAAAATGATAAGAGTGGTACAGAAACGCTTTGTATATATATTAAGCTCTGCTTTCCTGCAGCTTTCCTAAGAAAAGGACAGTACATATTGAAAATGAGGATTTGTTCTGGTGTTACTTAAATACAGTAACCTTAAATGGATTTGTGTTGATGTGTAGTGACATTGACGTAAACCCTGATTTACTTTTGTATACTTTGGTTTATAATTATATTTTGAGTGCTACTATGACTTCTCTCTCCTTTCTCCTCCATATAAAAACCAAAAGCTTCTGGTAGCTAAATTAATTTCTTAGTATTTTAATATTTGGTTGTATGAAAAGGAAAATGGAAGTAGTTTGCACACACAACTAAATTAGGCAGATCTTCTAAGCATCCAAATGATCCTTTCACCTAGGTATCTGAAGGGTTGATTAATGATAGAATCAGAAACGGTATCTGCCTTTGACTTTAAGATAAAAATATTGGAATTCCACGGAAACCTGTTAGATATTGTTTTATTCATTACTTAACCTAGAGGGAGGCAGGGTCCTAGCCCACCAGCTCAGGCTTGTGATAGTTCGGCCACATCTATCCCAAGGTTATCAGGGTGAGGACAAGCCATTTGAATTCTTCAACATGTTACAGATGTTTGAGTCCTGGAAATCTTGTCTTAGCAAGATGGTGAGCTATGCTCTTGTTATATGTGTGTTATTTTGGGATATTTAAGTAACTAGCCATAATGCCCCCCCCCCAATTAGTCATACTATGATGATGCCAATATTATTTGTATGAATTTTCAGTATCCTAGGAATAGCAGACTTAGGGAGCAGTGTCTGTTTTTGTAAACGGGTTCTGGATGTTCAGGCTTGTAGCTGCAGAAGACAATTAGCAGGACATCAGTTTACTTTTTCATAGGATCTGGGGTGTCTGTTTCCCTATAGGTTGTTTTTTCTCACGTTTATTTAAAAGCACGAGTATTTCATATTACCAGTATCCTGCAATGTGCTAGCAAATTGGGAGCAATTAATTCCCAACACCTGTGTAATGTGATTTCTAAGACAAATTGCTTTATCTTTAGCAGGTGCAAATGACAAAGCTTACAATTGAATTTCTATTTATTCTTTTTTGTTTCAGCTTCTCTCAGCTTCTAAATTCTTTTCTTTTCCTTTTTCATTCATTAACATTTTGTAGAAAGGTCTTGTAGGTGGTTTATTTATGACACAGACAGGAATTCAGAGATGCTGATAGATTATTTTTTTGCTCAGTATTATGTTGCCTCTATATTTATCTTGTATAGCTGAATCTATATTAAAGATGACATACCAAGATCAGGGGATGCTGGAGAAAGGGAGAGAGATACTTCATCATCTTCAGGAATTGGTGTTCTTACGTAATGCCAAGCCTTTGTATTGCACTGTTCTGTATTTCCTCTTTTGTGGCAAACTGCAGTTGTAAGCCATGATCAAACCATGGTTAGCATTTCAGATTGCAGACAAACTTTGGTTTGCACAAACTATGTTTTCGCCTATTTGGATGTAACTGCAAACTGGTTTGCCACAAAAGAGGTTGTGTAACAGTGTGCAAGGGGAGGAAGGTGTGTACATGGCCAAGGCTCTGTTTGAATTGAGCCAGTGTCTAGGAACTAAAAAGCCTTAGATCAAGCCTTTTGCCATCTAATATTCTTTCATTGGTTTTAGAGGGTCTTTCTTGAATTCATGTTTGGACTTATTCCAAAACTAGTATTGCAGTGCTTTTGTTGAGTTTGATAAGTAATTTGATTAATTTCCCATAATTTTACTTGAGTGATTACTTCTGAAGTATTCTCTGCTCTTACCATAATCACAGTTTGTGATAAATGTACAAATATCCACATTAAATTTTCAGCTATCAGGTTTGACAAGTTCCTTGGTTCAGGGCTGAGAGGAAGGGCTTTAAAACTATGAAGCACTTCTAAAATTGCAGCTGAGGAGCCCAGAGTTTAACAGTCCAATCCTAAACATGCTTAATAATAATAATAATAATAATAATCCTACTGAATTCTTTGAGACCTTCCTCTTACAGAGTAAGCTTCATTTTCAAACATTTGACACTGAAAATGATGGGTAGAAGATACTGGAGACTTTCACATTTGTCTTGAGATGAGCACTGTTCATACTGGAAGACAAAAATAGAAAAACTGTATTTCTTCATGCAGAACAACTTGTCAGCAAGAAAAGAAACCTAACACAGCTGTGGAAGTCTGTTTGACCCAATGTAAAAAATATCCTTTATTACTGACACCAAATTCTGCACACTTCTTCTAGCCTTAAAATATGCACCAGCGGCTTTGTGGCTTTTTGACTAATCTTCTTTTACTTCAAAAATACACTGACAGAATATTGGCTCTGCATGTATTTTTGGAGTTAACATGATCCCTTCATTTTTTCTGTTTTCTATCAATATTTATAAACTCTTCTCGGAAACCACAGGTATGGGTTTTCTTTATGGTATTATCAATGCAGGCAATAAAAGGGGAAAGACAATCACCAGCCTAAACTTAACTCTAGAAGAATGTAGTTGCTTTATGTTACGTAGCATAGCTAATATTATCCTTCTGCATTTCATAGGAATATAATACAGTTTTATGCAGGAATTTATAAACAACCACAGAAATAGACATACAATTATTGTAATATAAGAGACAGATGGTCTTGATTAATAGCTTAAAAAAAAATCTACTTGCTTTAGGTGAAACTGTTTACAGTGTCCTGCCCTGTTACCTCCATCTAGATTAGATCCTTCATGGAAAGTATACTATTGCATTAGTTTTATGTTCACTACTCTGTAAAAATGCTTTAATCAGTGCTGTAAGAAAGAGAAAGTTTTCAATTGATATAAAATGTGGCAAAATCCCTTCCCAATTTTTTTTTGGCAGAGAGAGACTGAGAACACACAGCATTGAATCATCAGGAAAATTGAAGATTTCCCCTGAACAACATTGGGATTTTACTGCAGAGGACTTGAAAGATCTTGGAGAAATTGGACGAGGCGCTTATGGTTCTGTCAACAAAATGGTCCACAAACCAAGTGGGCAAATTATGGCTGTTAAAGTAGGTGATGCCCGTAATTACTCTTGTACTTCCCAACTGCAGGGGCAACATATAGTGGATAATTTAATATCCATCCATCTTGCGCTCAGCAGTTGTTTGCTTTCCCCCGCTATCTGTATATTTTGCCTTGTAGTTTAGTGTTATTAAATACTTAACTGGTTTGTAAAATTATGGGTTGTAAAATTTAAGGAGAACGTCTAATATACGTAAGCTTATTTTTAACACAAACACTGTATATATACTGAGACCCTTTATCTCTAGGTTCCTGGTTTTAAATCCAGCTCAGGTTTATTATTCTTAAATGCAGTTTTGCAGTGGACAGGTCAGGGTCCTTTGTGGAACAAGCTAGTTGCCTTGCTACAGTAGTTTTCATTTTTTCTACTTATCTACTTGTACCAGTGTGCTTTCGAACTGCTAGGTTGGCAGGAGCGTGGGACAAAGCAACGGGAACTCACCCCATCATGTGGATTCGAACTGCCGACCTTCCATTCGGCAAGCCCAGGAGGCACAGTGGTTTAGACCACAGCGCCACCTGCGTCCCACTCATTTCTTGTAATACTCTTTTAACAACACTGGCTATAAAATAACTTGAAGTGAAGGCAGAATTGAGCCCTGTACTCAGTCCAGTTATCAGCAAATATACTGGCATGTTTCATAACATGTAGGTCACTAGTCATCAAGTATAATAGGAGTAGAAGAGGGCGTGAACAGTATGCTTTATGGAATATTAAATGTTCTTCGCCCTGCTTTTTCCAGCATCTGTGTCTTTGAGCTACATAAGTGAATTCTGGCCTACAAGGAATCCATTCTGTCTTGTTCCCTCCTCTCCCTGAATTTGTAGGGTGGAACATGCCATATTTTTTTCTGTGTAGCCATGCCTCTGCTGAGTCCTGTTGAGGGTCAATATTTGGGTTTTGCATAGCAACAAATTAAGGTTTGCTACCAAATAAATAGGTCGGTACCAACAAGGAGTTGCGTCCAGTGTGGACTGCTTCACACTTTGCTTGTTAGCCAGGTTTCACTTGTGTATGCTGCAGTAGAGCACACAAAGTATGAATGCAGAGGTGGACATTTGTAAACACAATGGACAGGCTACATGAGAGAGACATCACATTGCATCTCCCTGATACATCTTGAGTGGGTCCTTGAACATTTAAGGATTCACATAACTTTCACGTTGACCTCAGCAACTGTCATACATTTATCTGTAAGATAGACACAATTGCCATATTCAAACTTTGCTATTATGGTGATGTTTAATCCATTCCCATGTATTCAGTAATAAATACTAAATAATAATAAATTATGGGAGGAATTTAGCATTGCACTATTATGATGATTCTCTCAGCTTGCCATACAGGATGATCTCCTCCCTGCCCCCAGGTATGCTTTTCTGGAGGTTCCCACAATCACTGGAACCAATTTGATCTTCCCAAGATCACCCTACCTTGATTTGTGCTCAGCTTGTGTTTTCTGTGGAAAGTCTTGATAATAGGTGGCTGTTTTATGGTAAAATAACGCTGGAAAAAGATTCTATATAGATGGCCAGGAAAATAAAAGTAAAAGAAAAGAAAAGAAAGAATTCTAAAATTCCATAGACAGAATTCTACAGAAAACAGGAAGGTGAGGCAGATACCAGCAGCCACTGAAGAAAGGGAAATATGGTAAATAAATATTAGGAGAGGAATTCTGGAGAAGAAAATGGGAGCAAGGTCTGAAAACTCTGGAGATAAACTGCGTTTTTGCAGGGATCTTGAAATCAAGGAGAGCACAATGGCAAGTGCTTTGCATATTTGGTCATGGGATTCCTTGGGAATACAGAGATTGGATAATGTATTGTATACAAAGGCTAGGAATAGTTCCAAGCCGAAGGGAATTGTGAAGGTTAGAGGGCATTGGCCTATATGCAGTTTAGGTATTGCCCAGAGAGTTAAGAAACACTGGAAAAAGGAAAAACAGATGGAATGTGTTATATTTGCAGTTGTGTTTTAGAGTTCCCATTTCATCTTCTATGTAACAGGCAGTTCTTTACTTGGATCATTCTGTTCTGCCCATCACTTCCTAGGAAAACAGTTGAGCTGCTTACTATTTGTACTCTGGAATGTGTAATGGCTTTACAGCTGTAGAATAATTGTGCCCAGAAGAATTGTATAGTGTCTCCAGAACAAAGCAGAACCGTCCCATGCCTGCTATTATAACTTTCTCAAGTGGCTTTGATCAGCATTCGTTTGGTGGGGGAGGGTATGGTATTTTTGTTACTCTTAATAGTTAGCATATAGAGATCCATATTGTTATGCTATAACCGGGGATATTTTTGTAAAGTGTCTTCTTGGGGCCATATTACGTGCTAATGTTCAAAGCATTTTTTTATTGTGTGCTTAGAATTGGCCCTATCTTTTTCTTTAGAAAAACAGGGGTGTGGGTGTTCATGTTGATTTTGGATTGGGGCTGGAAGAGAGGTTAGCTTTCACTGTTTTCCCTGGAAAATCACCCTATACAGAAGCTTTTTTGCCCCAGAAGGTGATAGCAAATTGTGGGTAGTGCTGGAGGAGGTTGCCTAGAAAATAGCAATGGGTAAAGGATCAAAATCTGGATTAGGATTAGGATCCACTGCAGTTAACTTTTCTAAAAGGAGAGACATGACACAGTGCCTAAAGCACTTTTAATGTGCCATGCAGTTTGGCCCTTAGTCGCAGATTGGCTACTAACATGTCATATTCTTTATGAAGGGGGTGGAGGACCTTAGGCCAGGGGACCAAATATGGTCCTTAGTAATCTTTCCAGACCATGCTTCCTCTCCAAGCCACACCTGTGGCCAGCCTTGCACTGCGGCCTACTCAAATGTTTTTGTTAGGCTGGAATGTGTCCCATGAATTGAGTCCTGAACTGAAGAAAATACTGCCTAATAAAAGGGAATATTCATTCTCAAATATGGATTGTTGCATGATAATGATAGCATAAGTCAGCCTTCCCCAACTTGCTATCTTCCCATCATCCTAAACTACTGGACAAGGTGTGGTGGTTAGACTTCTGGACTAGTACCTTGGAGATCAGATTTGAATCCTTACTCAGGCATGTATCTCTTTGGTTGTCCTTGAGCTAGTTGCTGTTCTTCAGCCTAACCTTCCTTACAGGTTAGAGGTTATTCATTTCTCTTAAAAATACACAATTATGTCCCCCTTCTAACCCACTTGAAATGTTTTAATAATTAAGTATTTAAAGTTCATTCACCTGAGCTGATTAAAATGGTTCAGATGACATGTCAAAGCCCATGGGTTGTGGTTTGTTGCTCCTAGTTTGGCTTGGAGAGTGGAAGGAGTGAAGCAGGCGCTTTTGAGCAGCACATGGTTCATGTGGGTGAGCCCATAATAAGATATTAATGTGACATGCAAACACAGCTAGTTCTGTTTCCTTTATTTATGATATCTCTTCCTTTCTTATTCTTTCAGAGAATTCGTTCGACAGTGGATGAAAAGGAACAGAAACAGCTTTTAATGGATTTGGATGTAGTTATGCGAAGTAGTGATTGCCCATATATTGTTCAGTTTTATGGAGCACTCTTCAGAGAGGTGGGCACTCAAAATCTGCTTAGTTTGTAACAGATTTAGTTAATACGTTTTATGACTTTTTAATGGGTAATGAAGCATGTTAACTGAAGGGCAGGCAGTAGACAATTTGCAAGGGTAAACTAGTTTGGTGGGGGAGATGCATGTAAAGAAAACGTTAGCACTGCTTTATCTCTAAAATGCCTATTTCATTTCAGTGCTTCTCAAAAGGTTCATTATAATCATGTGTTATACGCTTGTGGCTTTCAAGCTTTCTACCTTTTATTACATTTCACTTTTATCACATTCCTCCTCTTAAGGAGGTTGGGATGGTGTACATGGTTCTCCCCCATTTTTATCACAACAACCCTGCCAGGTAGGTTAAATTGAGAGATAATAGCTGGCCCAAGATATTGAGAAGCCTAGTAAGCATCTGACTACTCCAGGGGTCACGAGGAATGCAATGCCATTGTATTCTGGGGTGGACAACTGCTATTGTATTCAAATGTCACATGCCACCTAACTAACGTATATACTCGTGTATAAGCCGACTTTTTCAGCACATTTTTTATGCTGAAAAAGCCCCCCTCGGCTTATACTCAAATGAGGGTCCCACCCGAGCGCATTTCCAGCAGCCCCTCATCGGAGCAAGCTGTTTGCTGCCACCGCTCGGGCTGCCAGGGCTCTGCCAAGCACAGCTCCTGTGCCTGCCCTGGCGAGCGGCAGAGGCTGTTGTTGGTGGAGGAGGAGGAATGAGCAGCCCGAAAGCAGCCCTTTTGGGCTGCTCGTTCTTCCTCTGCCGCCACCAGCCTCTGCCTCTTGGCAGCACCCTAGGTAGGCAGAGAGACGGGAGGGGCTGGGGGGGGGAGAAGCCCCCTCTGCCATGTGCGCATGCGCATACACGCTCTCCAGCCCACCAGGAGGTTTGTGGTGTGGTGAACCGGCTTATACTCGAGTCAATACGTTTTTCCTGTTTTTTGTGGTGAATTTAGGTGCCTCGGCTTATATTCGAGTTGGCTTATACTCGACTATATACAGTAATTGATTAGACCAATTGTAATTTGACAAAAGAGGAAGCAGAATATTTTGTGAGGCAGACCAACTTGAAGTTTGTTCACAGAAATATATATGTTCTGGTTTGTCTCTCTTAGTAAGGCAAAGGTTTGCATCGGTGTTGGTTTGTATGTCCGAGGACCTTCTTTTCTATGCTTCCCTTTCCATCACAGCTTAGCAAGAGTTGCACATTGACCACCCCATATGTGTATTTCAGATTAACAATAGTAAAACATGTCTTGCTTACTGCTTTTTTATTCTTAGGGTGACTGTTGGATCTGTATGGAGCTCATGTCTACCTCGTTTGATAAGTTTTACAAATATGTATATAGTGTATTAGATGACGTTATTCCAGAAGAAATTCTAGGCAAAATCACTTTAGCTGTAAGTATTCTTTCTGTTCTCACTGCTGCCTTTTGTGTGTGTGCACACTTCTGCTTTGATTTTCAAATCCAGGATCTAGGCGGGAGATGATTTGGCTTATTTAGGCTTGTTGCTGTGAACCATGCCTTATGGTTTACCCTCTACTGCTCAGTCTCTGCCAGGGCGGCTTCAGAATTTTTTTTCTTGTGGTGGCGGAGGGGCACAGAAAGCACAAAATATACTTCTAGGTGGGTGGGTTGTGTCCCACATGCTAAGATCTCTTAAAGGAAAAGAGCAGTATATGCCAATGACAGGAGTCCAGCAATGGGGAGGCAAGCATGGGGGTGAGCTCCTTGGTTGGGGAGTGCACTGCCCCCTATCCCATGCCCCAGCACCACCCATGGCCCCTACTAGCACAAACGGGAAACAAACCACAGTCTTACACAACCATTTCTATCACATTTTGTTTGCATTAACTACACTGTAACATGGTATAGCTATTAAATTTCTGCCTTATAAGCTGTCTGAGATGCATCTTTAAATTGTTTGGCTTTGAATTGTGTAATAGCAGGCATTTTATTATATTTTTGTTCTCAATAAAATTTCTCCTTCTCTCCTAGACTGTGAAAGCACTAAACCACTTAAAAGAAAACTTGAAAATCATTCACAGAGGTAGGCTTTTTCTGGATTTGCCTTTCTTACTGTGTGACATGTCTGTCACACGCAGTTCTTCCTGAGCATGCCTATAGATTATGCAAAATATATTTGTGACCCAACTATTTGGGGTATTCCACTTGATCATTTTATATTTCACTATGTCCATGTGAGTTTTGGTTCTCTTGGGCTACCAGTTGGAGGCTGACATTAGGACAGAGCCAATTGACAACACTCATTGGGTGTTACATTTTTTAAGTCACAAGTTTCTGTGTGGAGAACAGGGTCATAGTGCTATGGGAGGGGGTTTCTCCCATTTAAGTCTCTCACACACCAAAGCTGCTGCCATTGGTTGGTTGCTTGGCTGGCTGAGGTGCCTCGTTTGTTACTCCCTAACAAGCCAGGATTTGTAAGCCAATAACAAACCATGGTTTAAGGCTGGCTAGTGATCCTGGTTTGTAAGGGAGCAACAAACCGAGATGCTGAGTTCGGATATCATGGGAAGCAAGCTTGAATCCAGGTTCCTGGTTTATTTCTCCTGTTACTCCAGAGGGGGAGTGACTAGCTTACTATGACATGCAGTTGCGGTTGCTGTCTTTAGTCGTGACTTGGTGTCTGATGCTATGTAACTTTCAGCAGTTAGAAACTGAAGTGCTTTGGTTGCTGCTTATCTGCTTAAATATGTTTCTGTTTGCCCACATCTGTTGCAGATATTAAACCTTCCAATATTCTTCTGGACAGAAACGGAAATATTAAACTCTGTGATTTCGGCATTAGTGGACAACTTGTAGACTCCATTGCCAAAACCAGAGATGCTGGCTGCCGGCCCTACATGGCAGTAAGTGGGATTTGAAAACTTATATGTGATGGGTGAGGTGCGAATAGAAATGGAATCCTTTCTTTTACTCCCTTTGTTGTATAGGCAGAAGCTAAATATTTTGTACATGAATGGCTGAGGTTGAAATCATGCTTCAGCTTCACAAGCTAAAACTTAGATGAAGTTAGCTTTAGTAACCTGGTCCCTCTACTGGCGAAGGTATTGGAAGCATCCATTTTCTATGTGTTTGCATTTAGATGGTCATTTGTAGGAGGAATCTATAATGAGCTAGTAAAACCCTGTGGCTCCTATCAGAGCTTTTCCTGGGAAGAAGAGGCTCAGGAATAGAGTGAGGACATTTTGGACCATGATGGTTACCATACAAAGGTGCAGGGAAATGGGGAACATACAGTTCAATGAAATTCCTTTTGAGTAAATTAAGTCTGAGAATTGCTTAGTAACATTCTATGAGGATGTTGGTGCCTTGTGGTAGCATGGATCAATAAAATACAGCTTTAGTTCCCAAATGTGGCAGAAAAATTGACTAGTCTAAGAGGGATGCCCCCTATTGCCATTTAAATAACAGACAGATGGTTACACATGATTTCCAAAAATACAGATTCTTTTGCCATTTGTTCTTAGTTGGATGTGTTAGTTTTTTTAAGGAGAAGTGATCCCAGATTCAAAGCCACAGATAACAGGGAAACAAAGCATATTCTTTCAAAAATACTGGCACCAGCCAAGTGAGACTAATACACTTGAGTTGTGACATTAAATAGCAGATGGTTTTGCCAAGCAGAACCAGATTGGACAAAAGTGCTGCAAAAGATTTCATAGTTCAGTACAATCATAACAATGCAACATCATAAAATTCACAAATAAAATAAGAGGGTAATTTTATATAGAATAATATCTAGACTTTAGGCACCTAAAACATTGAAATACGTTTAATACTTCACCGTGATGAAACTTGTATATAATAATTGTCCATGGCTTCCAAGCGGGAACCATGGGATCTAATTATCCTGAGAAGACTCATATTAAGGGCTTTCAGTTCAGACTCCAGATTCAGTACTTTGGAAAACAGTCTGCCTCAGTCAAAGATGCTTAAGGGGTTGCCTAATTTGGCTCAGTGTTCATCCAAGTCCAATTCCTTCCTACCCCTTCACTAGTGAGAAATCAAAAATTTCAGAAGGATAGCTGCAGTGATTTCCCATCAAGGCCAGTCTTTGCAGTTTTGGGTTGGGTAAAAAAGGAATCACTTAAATATTCCCTAATGTTTACTTCATTTGCATAATTCATACCATGTTGCAGGATTCTGATTTGCTTTAAATAGAGTACTTGCAGCCCTGCATTAGGATTAGGATCATGGAAGGGACAGTTGGTGTTAAATGAATCCTTCTCCACATCCCACTTCAGTAAATTCTTGTCTTTTTCTTATATAACTGATATTCTTCCTCTAATTTCAGCCAGAGAGGATAGACCCCAGTGCATCCAGGCAAGGATATGATGTCCGCTCTGATGTCTGGAGCTTAGGGATTACATTGGTAAGTGAGAAATGCTAAGGGCTTTGCATGCTGCTGGAGATAAAACCCTAAAGCAGCTTGTGAAGCAGCTTTAGGAGAAGTAAAAGCTAAACTGGCATTACTCCTGTGAACATGTATGCTGTGATAGGGCCTGCATTCCCTCCCTGAATAACAGACCTGTCTCAGCTTTCCTCTGCTACGCAGTTTGGCTTCCGTGGCTACTTTTTATCAGCAGTGACTTTACTCTGTTACTAGGGGGCAGCAATGCATGCTAAACCTCAAAAGAACCATGCTTTAAGCTAGGCAATCTGTTCCTTGCTGCCCCTTTAGAGCCAATGTAAGCCCAGCCTTCCTAGGTTTGGACCACTGAAGACAGCAAACTTAGTAGGAGTGGAGAAGAGTGTATTGAAGCAGAAAGGTAGAAACCAAGGGTTCGGCCTAATCAGAGACTATTCCAGATTCGAAGGGGCTGGGCAAAGTACCCTCTCTGGGCACATACACCCATAGCATTAGCCTAGTAGTCACCCCCAAAGTGGAGCTGACTAGGGGTGGGACAGGTGGCAGTGGTATCGAAGGGGGAAACCAGGAACTCCAACTCCCACCTCCTTCATTTCCCTGGGATGCCTCTGATCCCTGCCCTAGCATGTACAGTGGACTCTTGGGTTGCGAACGTGATCCGTGCGGGAAGCACGTTCGCAACCCGCAGCATCCGCAACCCGCAGCGCTGCATCTGCACACGCGCAGGTCGCAATTTGGTGCTTCTGCACATGCGCAAAGCGCCGAAAACCCAGAAGTAACCCGTTCCAGTACTTCCGGTTTCAGCGCGGTGTGCAACCCAAAGCTTCTGTAACCCGAGGTATGACTGTAGTATGTTTAGGAGGAATGGGTAGACATTGTTTCCTCTGCTTTTTTTACGAGAAGCTTGAGGTCCGTCAGCCGGAGACAAATGCAAAATAGGGGCTTGGGTTAGTGCAGAACACACACACCCTATTATTTCATGTTTTAGAGGTCAAGTGCTTGCCTGCTGATTTGTGAACATTTTAAATTTAAATTGAAGAAGCAGCTGGTAAGTTGCCCACTCGTTTCCCCAGCAATTGCCTGCACACCTCGTATGATTCTTCTTCTTTTTAACAAAAGAAGTGGAAAGCATTGCAGCTCTTCTACAGCAGCAAGACAGAATTTCTCCCCCATCTGTAGAAAGCAGACTTGTGGGCTTTTCACAAATGGTAAAGTGTGAATACATCCAGTTGCAAAGACAAGGGTAAAAGAATGTTTGTGGGGAGCAGGGGGGATTAAGATGCAGAGAGTTGAGTTCTTTAAAGTTACTGCAATGTCTAGGAATCTCTTTTGAGTACCAAAACTATTATTTCTCAGGCACAAGCCATCTCCTGCTTCCCCCCAAGCTTTCTTGATTTCAGCTGGCTAATTTGGGGGGTTGCTATTGTTAAATCATTAGGAGTTAGAAACCTTGCACGGAGCTTCTGCTGGTGGGGCTTGTCTGGAGAATCCTTGCTCCCACCCTCCTGGCCCCATGAACTTTACAATGGCTAATCTAGCCCATGTTGTTGCTTTTTGTTTTGGTGTAGTATGAACTGGCCACAGGACGGTTCCCCTATCCAAAATGGAATAGTGTATTTGATCAACTGACACAAGTAGTCAAGGGAGACCCACCACAGCTGAGTAACTCAGAGGAACGGGAATTCTCCCAAAGTTTTATCAACTTTGTCAACTTGTGGTGAGTATGCCTCGCTCTGGGGCTCTTCAGGGCATTAGTAAGTGGTTCTGGCTCAGGCTTCCAAGTCTGTCCCTCAGCAACTTGCATGTGACAGCAACATCCAAGAGCATTCATGTTGCTGGAAATGGTGCATTTTTCCTCCACTGAGGATGAAAGTGGGTTGGGTGGAGAAAGCTGCAGTATGAAGAGCCACTTGCAAGCCTTAAATTAATGCCACATTTCCTGCATGTGTGATGGAAGTGGTGGCTTGGAGAGATTTAGACATGTGCTTCCCTGGTTGAGTTGCCACTCAACGTGAAGGCAATGCAGATCTTCCTTACTGACTTCCCACATTTGACAAATAGCACCGGGGTGGTGGGGAGGCCTTTCCTCAGGCTGTGTCTGTAGCAAGACTTTTTGTATCCCCTAATTACATCTTGGAGATTCGTTTGTTGTTGCCTCCTCGATATATGATAGCGGGAGCAGCAATTGCATCAAATAGAGTGCACACTGTAAATTGCAGAATATATATTTGCAGTGCCTCCTGCTGGGAGTTTGCCTACCTGCAGGTTTGTAGCTGTGATATTTTAAATGAATGTTGATACGCTGTGTTTGCCTCATTGCAGCACAATTATTACATTGTCCTGTGGATAAAATGAAGTGGATCTGAGTCAGTTGCTCTTGTTACATTTAGCACACCAGAATGGGCTCAGGAAGAGTTATGTGAGCAACTTAACATCATTTAGTATATTAGTCTACATCAGTGGTGATTTGGAGCCTTGCAGGAGCTAGAATAGTTAAAGATACCTTTAAGATGAAGCAATTATCTTTGAGGCTGTAATCAAACGAAAGAGAAAGCAGAGGAGTGGTATTTAAAGGAGAATGATCAATGTATATTTTACAAACTGATTAGAGCAAGACAGTCACTTCAAATTCACTACAGTGTTGATGTGCTGCCACCTGTTGGTTTGACATTTTTCTGTGTTTTTAAAATGCAGTGAGTTAGCCTCTTGAGCTGATTTCTTAGAGGCAGATGGGCAGGACAAGACTGTCTTTAGTTGAGTGATGTGCTTTCCTCCTTAGAAAGGTGGGGAGCAGGTTTTGTGTTAAGTAGACAAGGCCCTTGAAAAGCAACTGTGGCATTTTCCTCTCTGCTGAGCTCTCTATATTCATTTATGGCAGGTTATGGTAGTGCAAGAAGGATCTTTTTTTAGAATCCCCCTGTGTTTGTTTATGAAGGGTTAATTTCATGCTGCACAGGTCTTGAGAAAGAAGGAAAAGGAAACTTCCCTGATGCCAGGAAGTTGTTGAAAGGCTGTGCACTTCCTGCATTCAGAATTTTAAAACAATGGAGTGAGAGACGTACTGATAGGTTGCAGACTTCAGAGTGCTTCTGCTTATATTGCAGCATTTTCTTGGTTACCTGCAGACCAAGAACAGTCCTGGGATTCTCAATACATTCAATATACTGTGAGCCTAATAGGCAATACAGAGGTGAAAATACGGTGTCTAGGGGCTCCTGCATAGTTTGGTAGAAAGAGGAATTTCAATAGTGCATCTTGTCTTGCATGGCTCATCTGCTGAAATTCCCACTCCTATACAGCTTGCAGAAGCCCTGTCCTCTTTTTAAAATTTATTTCTTTAACTGGTTGCCCTGGGTGAAAGAGAAGGCAGGTCACTATCACTGTATGAGTTGGTTTGATAGCCACAGCCTTTGGACAGAGAGGTGACTTAAATGACCATTAATGATCATCATCATACATATAGGTGCATTCATGCGATAGAATTGCAGACTCTGACAGTGTGCAATGTCTTAACTGCCCAACACTTAATTTCAGATGTTTTTTCTGCTAATGTTCTGTCACCCTAATCCTCTTACTGATCTTTTTAGCCTTACAAAGGACGAGTCCAAAAGGCCAAAGTATAAGGAGCTTCTGGTGAGTATGATGGGATATGTGAATGCATGAGACTAGAACTGGCTAAGACTTTAAGGACTTTAAAGACTTTTAACTCTTTTGAAGCTTGGTATTATTATTATTATTATTATTATTATTATTATTATACCCCATCCATCTGACTGGGTTGCCCCAGCCACTCTGGGCAGCTTCCCACAGATATTATTAGGCATTCTGTAGCAGCACCATTGCTATTCCCATTTTGTGAGCTAGGAGCTACATTCTACTTGTTTAGTGCAAACAGTGAGGCTGGGCTTGCTACTTTGTCTTTTGCTGTGAGCAATGAAGCAAGCCCACATTTAGTTTGTTCAGGGGTTGTGTTGTGTATCTAGAGAATTAAAGTTTTTTTGCAATTGCACGGCATATTTAATTGGTATAATTAAAATTTGATTTTGGGATTTGTCTGCTTCACCAGTTATCCATTTCCTCCTAAATGTAAGGCCAAGGGATGTACTGTACCCCACCTGCCTTCTCTGTGTGTATATGCCCATGTTGATGCTTGGACCCCTTCTACTGAATCTAGTGAGCTGGTACCTCAGCGCAGCAACTCATAACACCTGAAGTGTTAAGTTGCATGGAAGTACCTTTGGGAGCTCACACGGCTTCTGGAGGCACCTTCTGTGCTCCAAAAGTGAGACTATATTTTGTTCCCTTCTCTTCTACCAGAAACATCCCTTCATCCTAATGTATGAGGAGCGAACAGTGGACGTTGCGTGCTATGTTTGTAAAATCCTGGATCAAATGCCAACGACTCCGAGCTCTCCAATGTATGTCGATTGATACTGCTGCTACATCAAAACTCTAGTGCAAATGCTGAGAAAAAGCAAGATGTACAGAATCTTCACCCCGTATTGCAGTGTTTTAACGCTCGCCCAGACACCATGTGCAATAATGTTGGTGTTTTTCTTCCATTCTGTCTGTATATTATTGTCACTTATAAAGTGCATCCATGTAATAATACCTGATCACAGTGTTAGTGTCAGTCAAAGAGAGACTTCATTTCGCTCTTTTTGTGGACATATTCATAAAACGTGGAAATAAGTAACATTTTATTTGTTGGCCATGATTGGATAGCACCTAAAGTTAATTTCTAGACTCAGAGACTTCTCAGCAGCTACTGGAATGATTTTATTCTTTCAAACTCTTCCAATTGTTACAGATAATATAAAAGAAAGGAAGTTAGGCAATGGCCTAGCTGATTCTGAACATAAACTGCTTGGGGAGAAAGAAACTTTTATGCAGCCAAATGAGCTACTTTTACCTTCTGAAGCCAACAAAGGCAAAGAGGGGATAATATATAAATATATATATAAATATATTTCTTCACAAAGTGCAATAGATTAATTGATTTGAAATTCTGTTGCTTTTCAGTCACAGTATATGTTTTGAAGACAATTGTGGCTCAGCAGAACTTCATATTTCGGAGGGAGAAAGAAGTGATCATGTAAAATGGACTATGTCTTTACCAAAAAATAAAAATAAAAATGCATTGCATTGCATTGAAAGGAGCTAACAATTAAACTCATGAGAGTATGAGTTTGAACTCATGGAGAATAATGTATTGTTTCATTTTCCAAGCAAGCCACTCTTCAGTAGAACTAGGTGTCCTGTAAATTGTTACCTGGTGAGATAAGACTTTTACCTGAGGAATTATTAAACTACTCAGTTGAATTTAACTGGCTTGTGACCCCTGATTTCCAACTCATGGCTAAACTTTCACCACTGAAAGGGTACGGGACAGTTCACAGTTGTGAAGAGCTATTTTACATTGTTAATAATTATTTGTAATTTATCTCCATCAAACTTCTCATGTTTTCCAGTTGCATAGAAACTTCCCACAGAGCTCCAGGTATGACTTGGATTTCTGATATTAACCGTCAGATCAAATAAGCTCCCCACGTCCCCATCAGTTGGATAGTTGGGCTTCCAAAATCATTACAGAGAGGATGCTAAATATGTTTGCTTTCATTTTGTGGATGAATTAGAATAATTTCCTAACACAACGGTAACTAAGAGAACTGGAATGTTAAGTTCTTAAAAGCATGTGGCAGAAAAAAGGAAACCCAGAGGTTATATTGCCAGATGGAGGGTGGGATGGGGGAGCCCTTTAAACAATTATATTGTCATCTCAACTGCATCCAGTGTGATCTTGTCTTCTAAGTCACAAGAGGGAGGAAGTGGTGTTTTTTAAAATCCAAAGTTATTTGTAATCTCAGTAACTGTCACTATTTAACATGTAATACTAGAATTGTAAGGGAATTAAGCTTTACCATTGAGTGGGTCAGTGATAACAAGACCCTGTTACTATAACTAGTTAACTTAATTTTCTCTAGTATACCAGCTGATTAATAGGATTTGGGGGCAAAAACTTGGTCAACACCGTAAGAGATAATGTATTGAAATGGGAACCAGTTGGGACCAGGGCCATTCCAAGACATTTTGCTGCCTGGGGCAAATTACAAGTGCAGAAGCTGACCAAACTGCCAGGTAAGCACCCACCACCTGAGTGACTGTTTCACTTGCCCAATGGTAGGCAAAGTCCCTGGTTGGGACTGTTTTAATGTAGTAATTATTCATTGTAATCCACTCAGGTGGAAGATTTTCAACCTCATCCAGATGTTCCCAACCTCTATATGCATATCTCCTGGCTTTTCCTCTTTGTGCCTGCCGAAAATTGAACAGTAATTAGAGCCCCTTTCATCTTGCATTCTATTCTCACGTATATTAGCAGCGCATTTCCATTCGGTCAACCGCAAATGGAGGTAGCTCCTATTCAGGCACAGTGGATGTCTGAGAGAAACTGACTGTTCTAGCATATTAATCATAGATTGGTATATTAAGGGTGCAGCATTTATATTACAGTATATGTTTATAAAGATGTATAGTGTTCAGAAGCTGTGAAAATAGTGTAAGAACTGTACATTGTGAGCTCTGGTTTAATTTTTTTCTTGTACCATAGAAAAAAAATGTAAAGTTTATTGAGAAGCTGATGTGCAGGGGATATTGCCTTATTGTCTGTAAGTAAAATGGAGTTTGACAACATGATAGCTTCTAAGAGCTTCCAACTATTTTATCCTCTCCTGGTTTGACTTCCTCTTCTATTTAAAATACTCTACATGAAATCAAAGTGTTAATGTAATAGGTCCCCCCCCCCGCCTGCAGGTCAGTTGTAAAATAAATCAAGGTTCCGAATATGATCTTGCTATAAGGTCAGACATGATGATGGGGAAATCAATAAATGAAAAATGAAATTTAAAAATGCCATCTTTCTCTGGCCAAGTTTTCCTGTTTACTGATGTTTGCAAGAAGGACCAAAAGGTATGGTGGGACTTTGAGGGGGTGCCCCTGAAATACAAGAGGCTCAGCTGATCCTGACCATTGTTTGACCTTGAAACAATTTTTTTACTCCCCTGAACCAATTACTTTGTTTGCTGTCGTATGCTTTTTACACAATTGTACCTCCATGCTGACTGCAAGCTTTTTAATCTAGCAGAGCTTCCATCAGTAGAATGGGGAGGGGTGTGCTTTTTGTTATTCCCCCACAGTCTCCTACGCCATCTCACGCACTCTTCTGAAGGGTTCCCCCAACCCTATGGAGTATGTTTTGGGGGACTTCAGGTTGGAAGGAGGAATTGCCAAAAATTGCCTCTCACCCCGTTCTGCCCCTGGAAGCCTTTGCTGGATCAAAGAGCTTTCTATCAGTGTATGGGAGAAATCATTGGATAATATTTTTCATCTTTAGCTACTACTGTATTTGAGGTCTGACATTACCACATGAATGACCTAATTACTTGGGTCATGCATGGCGTATAACACTTGTGCATCCTAGATTTGAATTTGCCTTTGGGCAACAGCATCACGTTGCTGATTTATGTTATATTTGTAATTTAACACAAAAGATCTTTCTCAGCAGTAGCCCTGCCCAACAAGGTAGCTGCCATTTGGGGCTTTTGTTTCTTGTTCCACCTGTTTTGTATTTTTATGTTACTGGTTTCAATAAATTCATTGAAATCATTTTGAACTAAATTCTCATACGTTCTCCAGACCATTACCAGCCTCTTCCATTTCTATCATTTGGGGTGGGTGGGGGGAGGCTTTTTTTTTTAAAAAAAAATTATTTTGTAGACCAGAGGGGGAAATTGCATTTTTCACTTCTCCTTTAGCAGTTAAATGACAAGAAGCTGTGATTTGACCTGTCTTTGAAGTTCACTGAACAAATTACTGACTTTCTGCCTAACTTTCTGCACATAGTGGCTTGCAAAGGTGAAATGAGAGATAAACTAGTCCAGGCTGGCCAGGCTTTATGGATAGAGCACTGAAGAAATCTTGGAATATCTACTATTGTTAAAGCTTGCACATGACAAAATAACTGCAAAACAAGCACTCAGTGTGACATCACAGGGAGTCTTTTAATTAAGTATGGCAGTGCTGATCACAGAGGTAAGGCATTGTGTTTATTTACAGTGTGGTTTTTTTAATATATATATATAGTTGACAGCATCCCTTTAAATAAGGATAAAAAGCCCTGTACCGCATGGCAGTGTAGCACCTAAAACTAGTCTGTATTCAAGTGCTATTAAAAAGCCTCAATGGAATGACTTCTAACTTTTTGCATATTAAAATTAAGTAAAAGAAAACAAGCATGTGAAGGATTGTTCTATCCTACCAGTGCACTGTGTGAACATTTGTACAATAGAAAATTCATGCTTTAAATAGTGACCTTATAAAAAAACTTAACATTTTTTTATACAACATGCAGCAATATTAAAACCAGTTGTTCGTTCTTCCCCTACTTGACCTCAGAAGTTTAGTCACCCCTACTGAGGTCTGCAGAGACAGCTCTCCTGGTCCAGGCTGTTCTTCAGCCAAGAAGACACACGAGGGCACGTGGTCCTTTTTGTACTGTCTTGATTTCCAACAACTCCTTCCAGTAACACAATATTAAATACACTCATTTGGTAAATAGTTTTGTAATTAGCTTTGGTTTGCAATACTTTTACACAGTTTCAGGAAATGGCCAGATCGGTCCAAAGCAGCCACAAACTGTTTCTTACACATGCCCTTCCATACTGTGCGACCTTTCTGAATTGCAGTGCACAGAGGTTTACAGAAGAAATAAAAACACTGATGAATTGGCCAATACTGCAAAGTACCCAGCTAGCCAAGAAGAACAAGCTCCTCCTCTTTGGATGTGGATTCATAGCCGTTCTCTGGAAGACCTTGCATGGGATTTTCACTCTGCTCCCTGCACTACAGGTGAGGCTGGGCAGGAAATCCAGAAAAAAGCAATGGCTAAGGCACGAAGATATTGTGGACTTGAGCATCCTGTGTGGTTAGTTCTGTGTCACAATACTGTAAATGGGAGCTTCTTTTCACAAGCCTTAGGCAATCGAAAGGTTGAATATGATGTCAATGAGACTGCTGCTTGTGTAGCGTAGATCACAGACAGGTGTGTTGAAGGAAAGGATGTCTTGAAAGTGGTGCAGCACCATGTGAAGGAGGCAGTAGAGGTTTATTTTGCAAGGTGATTCTTCACATTGGTATTGTGTGCATTGCAAGGTATCTGTTTGGTTCAGTTGAGTGCTATTGTCTTGCTGTTCTTAGGCACCATTCTGCTGTAGTAGAATGTGCTTTGTGATGCTGCAGGCTTCCATGCTAGGTGTTTATGGCTGAATGCTTCACGCTTTCTGTGGGACATCAGCATGATGTCATCAAATTATTATCCTGTTTTTCCTTCTGTCTCTTCATACCATTTTTAAAAGAGAACAACAGTACGATCCCCATAGCTGTACTAATCAGTGCTTTTTGTGTGGATCTTATATACACTCTGACATACTGGGCAGGTGAACCTGTTGGTAGTCATCTACTTCAGCACACCATCCCTATTAGTTTTTCCATTTGCACAATTTTGTAAGTATGGCTTTTTAACGCATCTTTTTATTTGTGCTAGAACACTTTTGCCTATTTATTAGAATTGAAATAATCACACAATTGTACTTAAATGAAAAACAATTTAACTCAAATTTTAAGAATTGAAATTGCTTTTAAAATTGTTGTTTTCTTACCATTATCTTCATTTAAAAAGTGCTGTCTTTTTAAAGAAGCCATAAAAACAAATCATATAATAGAACTTTTAAAAAGTGGTTTGTTGTAAATTAAAGAAATTATTTGGCTTGTTCAGAATGGTCCCTTTCCCACTTTCATGCCTATGTCATGTCTAGTAGTGCAGATTACACATAAAACAAGTACTATATCCTCAACTCTGAGAGTGGAAAGTTTTTCTGTATGGAAAAGACTTTATGGAGAGTAATGATTGTGCACAACTAAGAGTTGCCAATTTGGAAGTACCTATATAAGTACCTGCCCTCCCCTTTCAACATATGTCTCACCACCTGCTTAAGCTGTATTTACAGCACCGGCAAGGGCCATAAACGTCATAGCAAACTATTGTTTTAAAGGCTTATTCACCTGCTTAACTAGTATTTTGCAGCGTGATGCACCTTTGACTACAGCTGCCATTTTCAGATTTGGTTGCAACAGGAAGCAGAAGTTATTTTGTTTTTTAAAAATAATAATAAATCCTGACATATAGGGACCGGTTTAGTTAAAATACGCTTTCCATCACTGTAGATACAGTAGTGTAATTTGTTTTAAACTACCACCTAGCTTTGAGCCAAGTAGGATACAATTTAAGTGCCGTTTGGACTTTTGCTTCTACATTTCTTTTGTCAGTCTCATAACTAGACTCAAGATCTGGCCCCCAGCTCCTCTCACCAAAGTCAACTATCTGCTTCCTATGCCCAACCACTCAGGATTTGGTCTACTGGCAAAAGTAAAACTGAGGGGAATGTAAAGGGTTTTGAACTTGCTAGAATGAAAGATAAGAAGGTATGTGCAAGGAAACAAACAGTAAGCTCACTGGGCATTAAGGAAATTACTAATAATCATTTACAGTCATACCTCGGGTCGAATGCGCTTCGGGTTGAGTGCGTTCGAGTTGCGCTCCGTGGCAACCCAGAAGTAACAGAGTGCATTACTTCCGGGTTTCGCTGCTTGTGAATGTGCAAACGCTCAAAATGATGTCACGCGCATGCGCAGAAGCGGCGAAAGTGACGCGTGTGTGCGACATGCCGTTGCTAGTTATGTTTGCTTCTAGATGCAAACGGGGCTCCGGAACGGATCCAGTTCGTATCTAGAGGTACCACTGTATAGGTAAATTATAACATTCAGTTGTTACTGTGGACATTCAGCGGTGTAGTGAGGATCTGTTGCTCAAGTGGATCTGAGTATAGTTTGGAATTGTGGCTGAGGGCTGGGCCCTCACTTTGTGGTATAAAGGGAGAACTACAGTTAAAACGAATGAAGGGTAGATATCTCACAACATAGTGCTTTGCTCATAACCCAGACTTTGTTTTGTATATATAGCTGTGGAGTCATCACCTGGGTGAAGCCTACCCACATGTGAACAAAGGTACCCTCCCAGGCAGGCAGCATTTGCATCTTTTTTTAAGGAGGCAACATATTTGAGTGAAACATTGCAATATTCTGGTCTGCCCTCAGGAAAGCGATGGTTAGGAACATAATGAGTATCTGGTGCTTGGTATGAAGCCTTTGGGCTGGGAAATGGTTGCTGCGTAGCTGGGCCTGCCGTGGTCCTGCCTTGTACCAGCTAGCCTGACCTTGCCCTAGATGAAAACCTGGCAGCCTCCTTTTTGGGGTCTGCCCTGTGCAGTAACAGGTGTGAGCATTCTAGCAGCAGCTTGATGGTCATGTATGATACTGCATACAGATCTGTTGTGACATGCAGAGAAAACCCAGACTGCATTCTGTACCATCACTGACGGACTTAGATCTGGCAATATCTTAATTTAAAGACAGACAAAGGCCATAGGTTCAGGCTACAAGGGGTAAGTTGCCCAGTTTCTTCCACCGTGGTAGACTTAGTCGTAGATTTGCAACCTTCACTTGTTAAACTTTGTCACTTTTTCAGATCAGCTCTGGGCAACATATTATTCAATATTATCAATTTATTTAAGACTGCCTGTTTATTAAACTGAATAAATTATTTAGTATATGAGGAGGCATGTGAGTCCTTCAAAGTGTTTTTGGAATTTGAAACAGAATTTAAATTGGTAATCCTTTCCATTTTTATAAGTTACGATTACTTTATTGCTTGTTGTAAATTTATTCATGACAATCTGATACACACAGATATTTATATATAAGAATATGGTTGGTTTTAATAGTGGGTTTGAAATGCTATAGATTTATCTATATCTATATCAAATTATACATGTTTATATTTTTAATTTAATTAAGAAATGAGCAAAGTACTTATGAAAGGAGGAATGTACCCTGAAACAGAAAATTGATAGAAGTCACCCCAAACTTCTAGTCAATTAAAAATCCTTCATTTATGTACTTGCTTTTTATATTACTCCATGTTCTTTCCAAGCTGAGTGCCCACCACATAAACAAGTCAGATTGCTTTACTTCTATTTCAAGTGCCTTTAAAATTGGTAAGACAGGGCAGAGAGAGAGAAGTGTTTAGTGAAAGGATGGCTTGGAGGTTACTGGTGTGACAATGGCTTCTTCGTGAGCTGACTTTTTTTTTAAGTCTTCATGTATATAATCAGGAGGAAAGGCAGTGGCTGCCATGCAATGTGATGGAAGCTGTAAGTGAACCAAATTTTTTTCCACAGTAGGCAATAAGAGACAATATAGCAGAACCTGATCCGGATGATAGATATGTTAGGGATGAAATGGATGTGCATACCAAACATAATTCTGCTGCAGAGTGAGTCTTTCTTGGAAGAGGTCTGGAAGCTACTAAAGTTAGCTGTGCTTGCTGAGGAGGAGACTCCTGCGCCAGAGATTTGCTTTGTGGTGTGTGGGAGATTATCTGGCAATTTCATTTGTAATAGGGGAGGGGAATGTCCTGGGAAAACTGACTCCAGTTTCTTCTCCCTGGCTGTCACCAGAGCTCTCTGATAAAGTATCTGAGTCTCTTTAATGGAAATCTGTTTGTGTTTAGCTGCATCCCCACACATAAGGCTTATTCTGTTCACCACTGTTGTAAATGCAGGTCCATGGTACTGTTCAAGTTGAGATCACTAACATCTAAGAAATCAATGTTGAAGATGCTGGGCCCAGTGGTGGTGAGGGAACCGAAACCATTGGCTGAGCTAGGCGGAGTGAGGTCCAGCCATTCCATTGTTTCCCAAGGAGACTCTGTGAAGCTCATGTGCAAACCAGTTCCTTCTCCAGAAGAGGGAGACAGCTGGGTCTCCATGGGCGACAGGGGAGTGGGCAGGATCTCGTGGGGTGTCAGCAGTTCATCGGCAGCTTTGTTGGAAAATCCTTCCATCACCCCTTCAAAGTGTGGTTCTTCACCCACTTTCAGTAGGGTGATTTCACTCGACCGCCCCAGAGGGCTGTGGGAATTTAACAAGATTTCCAGATGACTGTCGTTGCTGCTAGGGCAGTGTTCAAAGGACAGCTGACCTGAGGGGCCTTGCTCAAATGAAGCAGATGTCTTCAGTAGCGAGGAAGTGCCGGAGGTCCCTGAAGACACTGTTATCTGAGGCACCTTCTGAAGGCAAGGGCGGTCCTCTTTGGCATTTGCAGGCATTTCTGTTTGCAAACAAAAAAGGCTCATCAAGAGCAGATCTACAACTTTACTATGCCGTGCACCCCAAGCCACCCTACAACTTGAAATGTTATAAAACATCTTGCACATCAGTGATTACTGCCTGTCAAGACGGCAGACTCCTTTGTCTACAGTATGAGATACGCAATGGAGCACATGGTAATTCGCTGTTGCTGTCAGAGAAGTGTGTCCTACTTTTCTTTTGGTTGGATATAGCTTTATATGATGCTATGCTAGAGTAACTTGGCATACTTCTGTGAGCCTGTAAGGTGTAACTAGGAATGCCTGAGTGAGAAGAACAGAAAGATTGCAGAAGAGCCAACAGCAGATTGTGGTCAGGGAACACAGTAGGTGCTCCATCCAAGGACCGCAGGAAGGAAATCAGTAGAAGAAATTATCACTAAGTATATGTGTGTTGGCAAGGACGCGGGTGGCGCTGTGGGTAAAAGCCTCAGCGCCTAGGGCTTGCCGATCGAAAGGTTGGCGGTTCAAATCCCCGCGGCGGGGTGCACTCCCGTTGCTCGGTCTCAGCGCCTGCCAACCTAGCAGTTCGAAATCACCTCTGGGTGCAAGTAGATAAATAGGGACCGCTTTCCAGCGGGAAGGTAAATGGTGTTTCCGTGTGCGGCTCTGGCTCGCCAGAGCAGCGATGTCATGCTGGCCACGTGACCCGGAAGTGTCTCTGGACAGCGCTGGCCCCTGGCCTCTTGAGTGAGATGGGTGCACAACCCCAGAGTCTGTCAAGACTGGCCCGTACGGGCAGGGGTACCTTTACCTTTACCTTTATATGTGTGTTGGCAAGGACTTGTTAAGAGGGAAAAAGATGAGCGGATGAGTATGGGACGTCCTACAGCAACTAGAATCTTAATACTTCACCAAACCATTATTAGGCATTACAAGTATAAAGCATTGATATATAAAATTTAAAATATATACAAATAAACATGTAAACTATATAAAAATGGGATTTCTTTCATTGGGTTTTCTTCTCACTAAGTAGTGCCATTCACCACTCTAAGAGATACTGTTGACCAAAACTCAGCCACCCTTGCAGTTACTTCCAGGTTAATGTCAGACAGATAGATTCCTGTATGCTTATACAGTGGTGCCCCGCAAGACGAACGCCTCGCAAGACGGAAAACCCGCTAGACGAAAGGGTTTTCCGTTTTGGAGGCGCTTCGCAAAACGAATTTCCCTATGGGCTTCCTTCGCAAGACGACAGCCCATAGGGAAATCTCCAGGACAGCGGGGAAGCGCAGCGCGTCTTCCCCACTGTCCTCGGACCTCCTCCCTGCCGCCAGGCTTCGGAAGGCTGCTCCAAAGCCTGGCGGGGGGCGGAGAGGTTTTTTAAAAACCCCAGGGACAGCGGGGGACTTCTCCGCTGTCCGGGGCGATTTTAAAATGCTGCCGGGCGGCAGCGCTGCCGTCCGGCAGCATTTAAAAAAACCCGGGACAGCGGGTTTAAAATCGCCCCGGCAACGCGATTCTCCGCTGTCCCGGAGGGCTTTTGAAGGCAGGCAGGGGGAGCAAAGACTTTCGCCCCCCTCCTGCCTTCAGAAGAGGTCCTGGACCTCTTCTGAAGGCGGGCGGGGGGCGAAAGTCTTTGCTCCCCCCGCCTGCCTTCCCGGGAGAGCGGAGAAACGTACAGCCTCTCCTTGCGGAGGGGTTGCACGCAGCTATGGAAGAAGGCAAGGCAGCGAGCAGGATGGATCCCGCTCACTGTTTTGCCTTCCCCTTTAGGCCCGTGCAGCCTCTCCTTGCCGGGAGACACTGCGCAGGGCTTTCCTGGCTTTTCTGGGAGGTGGGGGAATTCCCCCACCTCCCGCAAAACCGGCAGAAGCCGTGCGCACTTTAAAAGGGCTGCACGGCTTCTCCTGGCTTTCCTGTCCCCGACGGCTTTTGAAGGCAGGCGGGGGGAGCAAAGACTTTTGCCCCCCGCCCGCCTTCAGAAGAGGTCCTGGACCTCTTCTGAAGGCTGGCGGGGGGCAAAAGTCTTTGTCCCCCCTGCCTGCCTTCCCAGGGGCTTTTAAATCGCCCCGGACAGCGGAGAAGCCCTCCGCTGTCCCGGGGTTTTTTAAAATGCTGGGGTGGGTGGGAAGAAAAGCCCTTGTCCCCCCCCCCCAGCCTTCAGAAGAGGTCGGGGGACAGACTGTCCCCGGACCTGGTCCGAAGTCGGTTTCCATAGGAACGCATTAATTGATTTTCAATGCATTCCTATGGGAAACCGTGCATCGCAAGACGAAAAACTCGCAAGAAGAAAAAACATGCGGAACGAATTAATTTCGTCTTGCGAGGCACCACTGTATCAGATTCCGATTGTTAAGACCACACAATCTATTTTAGTGCAAGGGTGGCTAAACTGTGGCCCTCCAGATTTTGGGCTTCATCTCCCATCATCGCTGACTGGGGTTGATGTGAGTTGGGGTCCAGTGACAGTCTGAGGGCCACATCTGGTTGCTTAAAATAAGCCCATCAAGAAATACAACCACTTTGGGAGCGGCACTTTCTTTCATGGGCTATGACCATGGCTACATTTAGCAGTAGGCATTGGGCTCAAATTATGGCTTACTATGACTAGGGGTTAAGGACGCAGGTGGTGCTGTGGGTTAAACCACTGAGCCTTGGGCTTGCCAATCGGAAGGTTGGCAGTTCGAATACCCCATGAGAGGGTGAGCTCCCGTTGCTCGGTCCCTGCTCCTGCCAACCTAGCAGTTCGAAAGCAGGTCAAAGTGCAAGTAAATAAATAGGTACCGCTCCGGTGGGAAGGTAAACGGCGTTTCCGTGCACTGCTCTGGTTCGCCAGAAGCAGCTTAGTCATGCCAGCCACATGACCCAGAAGCTGTACGCCGGCTCCCTCGGCCAGTAAAGCGAGATGAGCCCCACAACCCCAGAGTCGGCCACGACTGGACCGAATGGTCAGGGGTCCCTTTACCTTTACCTTATGACTAGGGGAAATTCTCTGAAATTGCCATTTTGGGTACCACCCTTCAGGCAATGAAAAGCATTGGGGCTAGGGGTTAGTGCAGACACAGCGATCACAGTGCACCCTCTTTGGGCAGCCAGAGACTTCGCTCATACTTGCTTTGACCAGAACCAACAGTCTTGCCTTAGGGATATCACCTACCTCCAGTTTCAATAAGCACATCCAACAGTTCATCCATTTGCTGGCTTCGGGTCATCTGCTGCAGCAAGAAAAAAGCAAGGGATGTTAGGAAGTTGGTACTGGAGCCACACACTACTATACTAGAAAAATCAGCTTTGATGGATATTGAGAGATGCTTTCAAAAGAAAGCTGAAGCCTCAGACATATAAGGATGATAGAATCTCCTTGACAGGCATGTTAAATAAACAATGATTCCTTAGTAACTAGTTGAAACAGGTCTCCTACAATACTTGAGCAGTTTTTTGTGTTGCAATTAATATGTTATGTATTACAATTAATACCGTTATAGTTCATAAAAGCCTCAGAGAAGCAAGATAAATAACCCTCCCAAAGTGGAATGAAAACTCCCTCCTTCACTCAGATGTTCAACCTGTAACTAATGTTACTTAGAATAAAATCCCACCACATTCATTGGTACTTACTTCCTAGTAAGTATGCTTACGTTGGCTCCTGTTAACCCACACAAACTTTGTGTGACCCACTGCAATTACCTCTTTAGGGGCCATCCTGCAGTGCTCTTGTGTGTACTTTTTTGAACCAAGTGTTCAGCTGTAGCTTGCAAACTTAGTTCATTCAGAGATCATTCTGTTTCTTCTAAAAATTCAGATGGCCCTTCCAACAGAAGTCACCTGAATCACTTCAGCTGCTTATTCAATGTCTGAACAAATAAGAGGTTGAATGAATTTGCATTTGCTTTTAATCCAATTGACTGTATATAACTCTTTCTACAACAATAAATTCAGTTTTCAAGGCTGTCGGTAGTCATCTGCTTTCACTCATAGGTCACACAACACTCTCAAATCTGCAATTGGCTTTGATGTACATAACAATCAAAGCAAGCTATCTGCAGCCAAGCATAGCCTACCAAGCACCAGACTGTTACCTGTTTCACAGCATCAGCGTAGGGTGGTGGCTGCTTTCCATCTGGGAGGGCAGCATTTGACTTGCAAAAGCCAGGAGACAGAATGGAATACTTCTGACTACCTTGTGCTGGCACCTGTGTGGAACCAAAATCAATCACAGGGATCAAGCCAAACTTGGGCCAAGACTGCTATTCAGCAGTTGCCTCCATAAATTTATCTCTTGCACATGGGAACAAATCAACAGTCAATGAGGTGATCTCATTGCAAATCCAGTGGAAGCATGAGAAAAAGTCAAGGCTCCGGAAGCCCATCTCCCTTGCTGTAATAACAGTTTTGCCATTGATAATGGCACTTACAAAGTTCTGCAAAGGAATTTTGAAATAATATTGAATTCCCCCACCCACTAGCAGAAAACTGCAGTAAAGGCTGCCTGGTTTAGGGCAGGGGTGAGCCAACTTTTTCAGCAGGGGGCCGGTCCACTGTCCCTCAGACCTTGTGGGGGGCCGGACTATATTTTTTTGGGGGGGGGAATGAATGAATTTCTATGCCCCACAAATAACCCAGAGGTACATTTTAAATAAAAGCACACATTCTACTCATGTAAAAACACACTGATTCCCGGACCATCCGCGGGCCAGATTTAGAAAGCGATTGGGCCGGATGCGGCCCCCGGGCCTTAGTTTGCCTACCCATGGCTTAGGTGATATACTTTTTTTTGAATGGGCAGGAGAGAGTTACAGGGACACCAAGGGGGGTAATTAAGCTGTATATGTGGAAGAGTGGGTAGTGTCCAGTTTCTTAATGACTTCTGGAAAAGTTGAACCTACTCTGCTTATGTGTATGCCACCATCCTTGAAATGCCGTTCTGCAACTTGAATGCAAACCAACAGATGTATATTTTAATCACTGGAAGATGGGCAATTAAACTCCTTTCCTGTTTGGTATTTCATCAACTGAGAAGCAATAATAGCTACAGTAGGTAAACTGGGCCTGGACACATGGAACACAGCCTGCCAGTTTTGAAACATTGCACTGCCCCCCAGTCTGATTCTGGGCACAGTTCAAAGTGCCTTTGAAGCTCTGAGCAGTTTGGAATCTGGATAGAATGGGAGCTGCTTTAACACCCTCCCCTAACTCTGCACCCCCTAATAATAATAATAATAATAATAATAATAATAAGAAGTAGCTTTCTTACTGGAGCTGTGCGAAGATGGCTGCTGGGCTGTGGAGAGCTGCTGCGTCCTTCTCCCTGAGTGCTGGGGGACACAGAGAGGAGGTAATGGCTGTTTGGTGAGGGTGGAAGGCTGATGTGTTGCGGACTCTTTGCTGCCTCTAGTGGAGAATGCTGGGGAGAGCACTGTGGGCTTAGGAATGTGGAGGACAGTATGCCGCTCTGTCCTGACGGTTCCATGCAATGGCTATTTACAAGATGGGGCAGCTGAGGTGTCCCACAGTTTCTCAGTGTGTCCGAGTTGCTAGCCTGGCCTTTCAAGGGAGCTTGCTTAGAGGCAAAGGGACAACTGGACGCTGGGTTTTCTTGCTTGATCGGAAAGCCGAAGAAGTGTGGAGAGGGCTGCTTCTCGTCCAAGCCGTGGCTCCTTTTGCGCTTCTGCAGCTGCATCCTCAGCTCTTCCACTTGCCTCTGCTCTTGCTGCAGTTTCCAGGTCAGCTCATTGATGACCTTCTGCTTTTCCACCAGCATCTTGTCTTTCTCTGTGTCAACCCTTTCCACGTCGAGCTGGATGCCAGCGCCGTTCATGCTTCCCATCAGGCTTTCTTCACAGCCGCCTTGCACAGGGGAAGGGTGCAGGACAAAATGGGGGGAAGACATTGGTCCTTCGTTGAAACTGTCTGGCAAGGAGCCATTCACCGACAGGTCTGAGGAAGCTGGGGAGATGGGGGGAGTAGAGCTGGTGCTGCCAAAGTGGTAAAAGCCATTGGACAGCAGGCTGGCCGAAGACTGCGACTGGTAGCTGGAGAGAGAGTTGGTTGGTGTCACTGGGAAGGTGACGGTGGTTATCTCATTGAAGCTGGGCACAGAACCCCCGCTGCACTCCTGGAAGGGCCGCAGGCGTTCCATCAAGGCCGTTTTCGTACCTGATACAGGGAGGCCCCTTATTCGGAGCTGCTGCCTCAGCTCCGACACCTGGAATGAAAGCCGTTTAGTCAGTGGCAAGGTCGCTTTTCAGTTCAACTTTGTGGCAAAGTAGCAACCTGCTTACAGTGGACCCTGACCCAAATCTAAACCAGAGATTATTTGCACGGACAAAGAGTTGGGCTGGGTAAAGTTTGGGCTCCAAAATGGCTGCTATTAATTGGACTGGATACGTCAGTTTGTCCCTGTGCTGCTTAGCACAACATTACTTGGACATCTCTAATTATTTCTATTGCCTTGGGTGCTATGCTGTCCAAATTAAAATTATGCAAGTTGTAATAAGCCTGGAGTGGGACTGAACGTCTGCACCCAGGGCTTATTTTTCAGCCGGAATTCAGTTTCAGCACCTCTCAGGTGAGCTCCGTTGCCATTCTAAGAGAACAAGGGAGACATTCATTGTGAGTTCTGGCACCTCTTTTTCTAGAAAAATAGCACTGCCTACACCTAATGAATTTGTGGCTGGTTTTAACCTGGGCTGCCCTTCTTACATTTTAGATATAGAGAGAGCAGTGCTTCTTGAGAAACTTGGGGGAAAGAGAAGGCATGCTTTCCAGTCAACCATCATTACTCCTGAGGATACTCTCCTGTCCCTGCTTAGGAGCTGCAGCCCTTTGGGCACAGGCAAGTCCTCCAGGTGAAGACTAGGCAGAACATCAGAGCTTGTTGAACTTCCCATTACTTTGCTTCCTGTGGATGGCCTATATTTTCAGCAACAGCTGCCTGAGGTTGTGCCTCTGGCACGTGCCTGTGTGTATATAAGTGTTCGCTTAGGGAACTTGGTTTCAATTGATTTCTTAACGTATGTTATTTTTAATGCTTGAGGTTTTTTCTTGTTCCAGGGTTGCCTTTGTGTTAATTTTGTTTTAATTTAGTGTGTTAGTAAAATAATGGTTTGCAATCTTAAACAATGAATATTATTGAAATAGAACTGGCTCTGCCATCTGTTTTTAAACAAGCTACGATGTCCGATTTTATTAGTTCTAAGTCAGCTTTGGCAAATAATAATTTGGTCTCTTCTCTACAGTCCACTGACCCTAGTTGGTCTGTTGATCTTATGGTGGTGTTTGACTGCTTCAATTTATGTGATATTTGAATTTTGATTAATTTCGGATATTGACCGAAGTGCATGTGTTAACCATGTGTTTGCTGGAGGAACACACTGCCTCCACATGCAGTTTCATATACCACACAGAAGGTTTTACACTTTTCATCAACTTTTGCATTCAGTACTCACTTTTAAATCATCCAGGTTGGATGGGAGAGGACCTGGCTTGAGAGACGAAATGCAGGATTGCCCTGAAAAGCTTCCCTTCCCAGGGGAAAGAGGGCTGTTGGCAACTGTCGATGGGGAAGAGTTTGAGGTTTTGGCCATTTGCTCATTGGGTTGCCTGTAAAAAATAAAAGTGCAGAACATTTTCCCCCTTTTGTTTTCTTCTTCTTTTTAAATATCAGTATTCTTACTTACTTCACCAAACCTTTATTAGGCATTACAAGTACTGGCCATCATAAAACATCCATATATACAAATAAAAGCCATGTAAAATATATACCGTACTTTTCGCACCATAACACGCAGTTTTTCCCCCTTAAAAAGTAAAGGGAAATGTGTGTGCGTGTTATGGAGCGAATGCAGGCAGGAGGAGCCGCTCTTGCTGGCTGTTCAGCAGCCTCTTTTCCTCAGCTTGGCTCCCTGAGAAGCCGGCAACAGCTGAGCAACAGCTGAGGGTCGGGAGACAGCCTCTCTCCCTCCTGTCTGCCTGCTCTATGGCTTTTTAGCGAGGTGGGAGAAGGGAGGCAGCTTGGAAGCCGGCAAGAGCTGCCTGCAGCTGTAAAAGCCAAGGTGGGAGAAGGGAGACAGCCTCTCTCCCTCCTGTCTGCCTGCTCTATGGCTTTTTAGCGAGGTGGGAGAAGGGAGGCAGCTTGGAAGCCGGCAAGAGCTGCCTGCAGCTGTAAAAGCCAAGGTGGGAGAAGGGAGACAGCCTCTCTCCCTCCTGTCTGCCTGCTCTATGGCTTTTTAGCGAGGTGGGAGAAGGGAGGCAGCTTGGAAGCCGGCAAGAGCTGCCTGCAGCTGTAAAAGCCAAGGTGGGAGAAGGGAGACAGCCTCTCTCCCTCCTGTCTGCCTGCTCTATGGCTTTTTAGCGAGGTGGGAGAAGGGAGGCAGCTTGGAAGCCGGCAAGAGCTGCCTGCAGCTGTAAAAGCCAAGGTGGGAGAAGGGAGACAGCCTCTCTCCCTCCTGTCTGCCTGCTCTATGGCTTTTTAGCGAGGTGGGAGAAGGGAGGCAGCTTGGAAGCCGGCAAGAGCTGCCTGCAGCTGTAAAAGCCAAGGTGGGAGAAGGGAGACAGCCTCTCTCCCTCCTGTCTGCCTGCTCTATGGCTTTTTAGCGAGGTGGGAGAAGGGAGGCAGCTTGGAAGCCGGCAAGAGCTGCCTGCAGCTGTAAAAGCCAAGGTGGGAGAAGGGAGACAGCCTCTTTTTCTCAGTGTCTGCCTGCTCTATGGCTCTCCCTTACACACATGTAAGTGGCTCTTACTCTGCTTTCTTTACAATGAGCTGGAAGGAGGGACAAAGAGGGCATCCCCTTCCGTCCCTCCCCCAGCACCTCACCGGTAAATTCAAACAAAGCAGCTTACAAGGCTCGTGTCCCTGCATCTCCTCCTCTTTTTGCTTCAGTTCAAGGCAAGGCAGCTGCACAAATGTGAGTTCCCCCTCTCTCTTCCTTCCCTTCCCTCCCTCCCTCCCTCCCTCCCTCCCTCTTCCAGCTTCAAAAAATATTGGGGAGACAGCCAGGTAAGCCCCACTCACATACCACAATGGGGGATGGGGATGACTCCCTCAAATATTTAATGGGGGGGTGAAGGCACCTAGGCCCATAGGAGTTAGCTGCTTTGCCTAGGACAAATGTGAGCTCTCCATCTCTCTTCCCTCCCTCCCTCCCTCCCTCTTCCAATTTCAATAAAATATTTGGGGGGGGGGCAGGTACAGGTAAGCCCCATCTCACAGACTGCAATGATCTCAAGACAAAGTGCATGCACACTGGTACCTTATATGAATGGCAATGCCCATCAGCATGGGGGGAGGATGACTCCCTCAAATATTTAATGGAGGGGGTGAAGGCACCTAGGCCTATAGGAGTTGGCTGCTTTGCCTAGGACAAGTGTGAGCTTCCCCCCCCCTTCCTTCATCACTGTATTGGAGATACCATACATTACTGACAGTTCCTTCATTCACGTGGTTACAAAGCACGGATCCACATGGATCCTCAGGATTTTTGCATTGGGCTACCCCAAACTCGTTAGATCACATGTCTGTGGCCACAGCATGAACCACAAAAATCATACATCCACTGTTTTGTTTAGAATATTTTTTTTCTTGTTTTCCTCCTCTAAAAACTATGTACGTGTTATGGTTGGGAGCGTGTTATAGAGCGAAAAATACGGTAATTACAAGAATTATCATTGGGATTTCTTCCTGCTAAATAGTGCCAGTCACCGCTCTAAGAGATACTATTGAGAAAATCTCAGCCACCTTTGCAGTTACTTCTGAGTAAGTGTCAGACAGATAGAATCTGATATTTTCATTGTGCCACGTGTTTACATAGCTGGTTGTACAATGAACAGTAGAAAAGGATATGTTCTACAGTGTCTGGCACGTTCAAATAACATCTGCAATGTCTATCATTTCTGGGGATGTTTAAATATCTGCCTTTGACAAGAGCTGAGAGGGAAATGTTCAGCTGGGCTCACATAAAGGCCCTCCGTTGGGCTGGAATTATTAATTTTGAGATTTAATTGACCCTGTTATCTGGTGTATTTAAACCATAGAACTTGGGGGAGCAAATTTTATTTACAACTGATTCGATGAATGTCCCTTAATCTAGTTTGAATATTGCAATAAATATATTGCTCACTTGAATTATACCAGGATTCCAAGTCAATACCAATAGATCTAATTTTGCTATGTAGGAGCAGGAACGATCTGGATGTATAAGAGTTCTTAAGCAAGTCAGAGAGCAGACTCAAAGGTTGGCAGCAAAAATGGCAACGCAGCCAGTATTTTATAGTGCTAGCCTTCATCCAATATTCCATCATGTGTACACCTAGTTCTGCATACATCGTCTCATACTTGATTGAACTTAGGAGCCCCAGGATACATCTCAAGAAACTTGAGTGTATCTTATCTAAATCACTATTATATGCTTCTATCCGTATTGGGATCCCAAAAAGTAGCTGGGATGACACTTTAGCTTGAAAAATCTGAATAGCAGCTGGTATAATTTGGTCACCTGTCTGAAAATAAAAGCGAGCTGAGGAGTTACACTTTGCCTGTTTTATAGCACTTGTGCGATGGGTTGACCACCCTGAGTTGCTCTGCAATAAAATTTACTGCATCACCACTGTTGTCCTGAAGGGTACAATCCTGCTGAAGTTTGGAAGAGTTGACCACACTTAAAAGGGAGAGGCTTTCTCTCTTAAGCACACACTTTAATTTCCTATTTAAATTAACAGAGCTTAAAAGTGACTAATGGGCTGGAATGTGCCCCAAATTGATTGCGGCAAGAAATCAAACCTGGGTAAGGTGGAAAGGTCACTCTAGGAAACCTTTCCGTTACCAACTCACTTCAGCTGCATGGAATGGGGCCCCGGATAGTTGAAGTGCTGCTGGTGCCGGTGCTGCTGCTGCTGGCTGAGGATCTGGAGCTGCAGGAAGAGCTGCTGCTGCTGCAGGAGCCTTGCATAGGCCGAGTCCATGGGCGGAGGGGACTTTTCCGCCTTCTGGTCTGGGGGAATGTACTGGTGGTACTTAAGCTTCTTCACTTTTGGCTTCATCTCCTTGGGCTTTTTGTGGCGATTCTTGCTATCGCTCAATGGTTTTGACTAAATGGGGCACAAATAAAAATTTCAATAAGATTATCTGCAACATGGAGTAACTGAAGTTAGTTAGAAAGTTTAGCGAGCTCCCGTGCCCAGGGCCTGTCAGCCTGCAAGTCAGTGGAGATAGTATCAAGACTGTGGGAGGTCATAATAGATGTCCCTTCTCACTAGGGTTGTCGAAGGAATCCACTGAAAACAGAATATCAAGCAAATTTCCTTTAATCTGCCCATTTTATCCCCACTGGCAGAGACACTCGCTGTGGAAACTATTTACCTTAATTATCTACAACGAACTTAAAAAAAACCACACCACATGAACATGTTATGTGTAAATAGATATGTAAATTGCTTTGCTATATATATTATTTACATCATCATGTATACAGGTGCCTCTTTACTGTCCTTGTTTCTAAAATGTTGTTCGCACCCTAAGGCCACCTATATGCACTAATATGTTGCAATCCCAACAATGTCTACTCAGAAGTAAATCTCACTGACTTCCAAGTACAGTTACAATTTCAGACTTAATCTGTATCCTCTTGTGTATTTTAAAGCCAGTGGAATGCATTGCTCCTTATTCTTTTCACATGGAAAACCACACTTCCTGGGGTTACCTTGACTTACAACTAAACTGTTCCTCCCTGATGCCAGAGTGAAAAAAGCAAGATAGGATGATCATGTAGCGTAGCTGGTTAGAGCATGGTGCTGATAATGCCAAGGTCGCTGCATATTCCTGCATTGTAGGAGGTTGGACTAGATGATCCTCAGGGTCCCTTCCAACTCTGATTCTATGACAAGTTTATATTGAACTGTGAAATCAAGGTAGTGAGAAGTAGAAGACTCTAGTTTTTTTGCTGCAAATTCCTAACATGGTCCCCCCCCCGCCCCCCAGAAAACACAAGGAATGTAACTCATTTGTAAGTTATCTGTTGATGGCTGAGATATATGTGTCTAATGTGTGCTACATAAAAAAAATATGTTAGAAATTACAAGTATTTCCACATCAGCAGGCAATGAAACAGCACACAAACTTTTGCAAAATAAACCAATTGCATAGGAATGGAAAACATCAGACGAAAGTGCAAATGAATATTGCAATTGAGACATGTTTGTACATCCCTTCTTCCCATCTGACCTTCTGTAGTTGAGTACAAGGAACAAAATATACAGGCACCACATCATTTGTAAAGGGCATGTTTATATATTTATTAGCCACACATTCCTTTTAAAACAGTCTGAAGCAGCAATCTGGTCCTTACCCAGATGACACTTCCAAGAATTTTTAAATGATATGTATCTAATAATATACTAATGCATGTTTTACAATCGTCACAGTACTGGTGTATTTTGTATTTGGATACTCTGACCCAAATATAAAATCTCAACATGTAACGCAGCCTTAAGATAGGCCTGCTGCCCCCAACATCATGGGGCAGTCCTCAGGTCACCTCCCCGGTGACCATTTTTAAACATTAGGTGTGTTTGGAATTACAACTCCCGTTATCCATAGCTAGCATGACCAGTGCTCAAGGGTGATTGGAGCTGTAGTCTGTAACATGGGCAGGACACCATGTTGCCCATCGTTGCTTTACGGCTTTTAAATATTTCTTTCATTTTTAACTTGGGCAGCATCCAGCTACTCCCCTTTCCCCCAGAATGCCTCTGGGTCCACCTCCATAGGAAAGGAGTAAAGAAGGAAAGCTATAGGGCAGTGCTTTGCCTTCCAACTTCTCTCTAAATATCATAAGAAAAGGGACGGAGGGCCCTCTTGTTGCCCTAGAGGGACAAGGGAGTATTTTGTCTGTTTTGAAGGGCAGAGTTTCCCTAGATGTTTTGGGAATAGATACGTGCATAAGTGGTTTGTCTGTTACTTAGTGGTTTACATGGAATATTAAATATACATTAAAATTATCCATAAAAGTTAAGCAACTTTTTTTTAAAAAAAAAATCAAAATATAAATGGAAATTAGTAGTTTAAAATATACCAGTGTTTGGTTTGGAATATGCATGGATATTATTTCTGTTGTCTGGGGCAATATTTCTGAGTATTGCCATTTTCCCTCTCTGAAATGGGTATTTTGTAGTGCCCATGACAGCTTCATAGAATTCCACAATTCCTGAGACAGATGAATGAGCCATCTAACACAAGGTCCTGTTGGCGCTATTGTTGGAAACAGCTTGGCTTCAACAGATCATCAAAGTCTCAGCTTGCTCCTTTTGCAGGTACTTTCACCCCAGAATTCTAATGGACCCAGTTTTGTGACACAAGGAGGTATTGTCTGGGTAGTTCCTAGCGACTCCCATCTCCAAGCAAAGCCAACACTGTAACTCATCTCCCCAAACACCTAAAACCAGTCGTCGTCCCCCCACTCTTACTGCAGATGAGTGCTAGCTGTTGTCTAGCCAATAAGCCATGTTAACAATTTTTCTTCCTACGTAGTGGGAGGTTAGGCTCATACCTTTGCAGATGTGGTAACAGTGCCAGGAGGTGTTTGTTGCCCATTCTGTTGTTTAGGACTTTCTGGCTGGCCATTCCTCAGAGATGTCATATCAGCCGTATCATTTTCAGAGCCAACGGAATGATCCTGGAATCATAATAAATACATGGAAATTAATAAACATCAATATGCACATTTTCAAGAAGCCTATCCACATGCAGGCAGCTTACAGACTATTACAGAAATGGTCCATGCTAGTCTTGCTCAGGACCAGTTATCTTGACCTTGTTTGGAGCCTTAACTAGGACTGGACTACATGTTATCACTTTTTTCAACTGGCATCTCTCCATGATCTGTATTTAGAGCAGCGTAACATGGAAGTTTCCTTGCCAGCATCAGATGCTCCTGGAAACTATCTGCACCAGCCTTCAACAACCTAGTGACCACCTGATGTTACTGGACTACAACTCACAACATCCAATGGGGATTGTAGTTCAAAGCAAGCTTTAGTGTATTAGGCTGGGCAAGGCTGCTCTATGCAATCAAGAGGATCTACGGTAGATGTTAAAGCAATAGCATGGATTGCTGACAGAAGGCAGTCTTCCATAGGGATATAAAATGGGCTTGACACTGAAGTAGGTAAAAGAAATGGATGGCAAGCTGTGAGAGCAGTGAACTACACTCCTAAAATCACTTAAAACGGCTAGCTAGCTAAATCCAATCCACCAACTGATAAATGCAAAGTTCTTCAGTAACGGACATTCTATAAATAAATTTTAAAAAAAAATCAGCAAAATCTACCTTGGAGGCCCCCAATTTCTCAGTCTCCATCATAATCAATCAGCATATTTTGCTGGTGACTCGGGACTCCCTGCCATGGCATTTCTACACAGCTGAGACCAATCGCATTTATCAGGCTAGTGTTATTAGGGAAACCAAATGGACGAATCGTTGGGCTCTGTGCCATAAGTGCTTGGAAAATGGAGGTGCCCCATGCCAAGTACACTGTGTAACAAAACTGCCGGAATGGAGGAGGGCACTCCAAGCCAAGAATATGTCGTGTTCAGGTTAACAGTGGCTCAGGATCCTTTGCAGGACACCCCCATGTTTTATGTAACCACCAGAGGCTGACCTTACAGCTGGCTTCCTCCATAGGCTACAGTGCCCTCAGAGAGATCTTGGCATGCATTGCATCTTTTTACCCACAACGAGTTCTTATTCCAGCCCCGAGGAGAGGAATATGCTTCCTCTGGCATCAGACATTTTTTCCTAATAGAAGCTCTTGTACTCATTGTCCAGTACTGGATGCTGACGGGGGGTGAAGACAAACGTAAAAAGTTTATAGCAGAGGGACTGATTTGGAAGCACACTCACTGTGCTGAATCCAAGCGCATGTTTTCTGACCTGGATTGAGCTTGTGGGAGGTGGGTGTGGCTTGGTTCTGCAAATTTAATCCAAAGTATCAGGACGTCTCATCTGTCCAAAAGTAAGAAATACCGTTTTACCTGAGTTGTCCCTGACATTGTGGGTAACGTTGCTTCTGAAATTTTGATTCCGGCTGCTGATTCTGTGGATCCCTGGGAATCTTCGCTTCTGATCTGCTCTGGGGACAGCCCATCATTGCTACTATCTTCTTCAAAAGCAAAAGCATCTGAGGATTTAGAGAAGTTTGCTTGGTTACCTGTGGCAGGAAGGAAGAAAAAGACTCAGTGATAGATGATTCTGAATGGCAGTAAGTTTTTAACAAGTGTACATGTAGCAAAGCAAACAAGTGATCTTAACACACTACAGTATTCACAGATGTACACTTTCTTGTTCCTGTCAGGTAGGTAAAGCTGTGATTTATTTGTGCTCAAAGGCAAGTACCAAAGCAGCAAATTCAGTATGGTTGACAAACATTCAACTGAGAACTATTATAGAAAACCACTAGTGAAGCAGTGGTTCGATAACATGTAAATGGTGTGCTAATAAAATCTGAATTCAGCAATTGGTTCCACTGGCTCTGTTGAAGGTCCAGCTCCACCAGGCCTTTCTCTATCATCCTGGGAGCAGTCATCCCACCCGAGTGCATCAGACGGAGAGATGGGAAGCATGACTATTGAGAGGGACTAGCTCCTTGACTCCTCTCCCTGAACTGTTTCCACACCAGCTGGCCCTTGTGAACATTTTGTAAGTTTAAGAACTGCTGCTTCAGCTTGCTTTCCCCCTCCTCACTCCATCCTTTCCTCCTTTTGAGTTCTGCATTTTAGATCAGAAGCCTGAGGGTTCCCATGTTTCTTAATTGCTCTATAAGCTGCTCTGGAATCATTTTCAGCTGCAGAACGGGATTACAAATGCTTTAAATAAATAAATAATTCTCAAACATTGGTTACTGGAACTATCTGATTTCCCATGAGGTTCTGATTCTCCGTGGATCACACATTTTCAGGATTGTTACTATTTTACTGGGTTTTGTTTTTTAAAAAATGAGGATCTTCTTTCTTTTCAACTGTTTTTGAAGATGTTCATGATTTTGTTTGAGGCACTGTATTATATGTGCCACAGCTTGCACCCATCAGTCTTCAGACCCTCCCCCCTGCAAGATAGCAGATCTTTAATAAATCCAGAACCTTCAAGAATAGCATCATTAGAAGGCTCTTGTTTTTATCCCAAAATTTCACAACTCTGCAGAATGCAATCGTTATCCCATTTCAAATTGCATCGTCTCTGTATTAGTTCAGATTATTCGTTTAAAAATGCAAATTTGTTTTTAAATGCACATTTCAAAGTGGATGTGGCCAAAGTGTAAAAGTGGGCAAGGTCATTCTATTTTTAAAAAATATAGGGCACATTTTAAGAGTCTTGGAGGTTGGGGTTACAAAAAAACCCTTTTGACATTCTGGAGTCACAGCGGGGAATTTGTGGGAGTGGGGAAATAGGAGCAGTCAATTTTTTAAAAAGACAATTGATGTGTGTGTGTGTGTGTGTGTGTGTGTCTTGGAAGCCCACAAAAAAATATTGGGGGGTCAAATGCTGCTTGTGCACCATGGTGAGAATACTCCAAGAAACTCATCAAGAATGTGCCCCCAAACAATTCACCAAATCAATAGCTTGCATGGTTTTTTCATCCTACAACCTCCTTTGAGAAATGCTGCAAAGATGCAACCCATTTTGCTTCTCCACGAATCAGTGTGGCTTATGCCAGATGATGCTTCTCTGCCACTCAGCATACTCAGTGGGTTCTGGAAAGTGTTCCTGTGCAATATCCCGCAAACTAGCAGGCAAAAGCGCTTGACCCTTGGCTTTTGCTGATAAGTAAAGTGCTGGGAAAGACAGGCTCTATCACAAAAGCCCCTGCAAGGCTGGAAGACAGAGAGTAGGCAGTGGAAGGAAGGAAGATTCCTGCTACACGCTGTAATCTTTCCAGGGACATGTCTGGCTTTGATCAAGTTTCTTCCTACTCTGCTAGTGAAGAGGGATTTGAAGAGGGCAGGAATGAAGGAACCATTCTAGGGTGCTAGAATCCTGCTAGCTCTTCAACATGGATCTGTACTCTCTTATGGGAATTATTCCAAAGGCATTCCCATGGAGAAAACATCAAGAACCCTACATCACATTGCAAGGGACCCTCTCCACAGCGAGTCTTTTGTATAGCCTACTGTGCATGGATGTTGCTATAGCACCAGAGTTGCCTTTCCTGGTATTACCTTTGATGGCTTCTTTCACAGCTGAGTCAACAGGAATGATATTCTTCTCCACCAGCTCCAGAGGACCTGGCCTAAGAGCAATTTTCTCATTTAGATTGTCTGCAAGACGGGCTCTTTTCAGTTTCATCTGAGTAGCCTGGACAGACCCTTCTGTGGTTGAATCTGTAAAGCCAAATGGTAAAAATATAAATTATTCCACAAAATAACCAGCCACGGCTCCTTTCCTTTTATCACTTCTAAGAAACACAGGATAAATTCTATGTCAGTTCTTTCCCAGTAATTAGAACCTGAGTGTAGCTGTAACACAAAGCATTTCTCTTGAACCATAAAACAACTGTGGCTTGCCAATCAGAAGGTCGGCAGTTTGAATCCCCGCAATGGGGCGAGCTCCTGTTGCTCTGTCCCAGCTCCTGCCAACCTAGCAGTTCGAAAGCACGCCAGTGCAAGTAGATAAATAGGTACCGCTCCAGTGGGAAGGTAAACAGCGTTTCTGTGCGCTGCTCTGGTTTTGGTGTTCTGTTGCGCCAGAAGCGGCTTAGTCATGCTGGCCACATGACCCAGAAAAAACTGTCTGCAGACGAACGCCGGCTCCCTTGGCCTGTAAAGCGAGATGAGCTCCGCAACCCCACAGTCGCCTGCAACTGGACTTAACTGTCAGGGGTCCTTTACCTTTACCTTTAACCGTAACTAGCCACAGAGTGCAATGATGACAGGTGTGCTTGTAGATAAGCTTTTCTCACTGCTGATATGATATGCAGTCAATTTTAACAATGCTCAAGATACACAGAAAGTATTACCTGTACATAGTTCCCTGTAGCCAAACAAAATAATTCCAAGGTTCTCACCCAATGCACCACACCCTTTATGTGCGTCTGCATACCAGCATGGCTGAGCCACAGTTTGCTGGGGAGTGGGTAGCACACAAGCAAACAATCCTTCAAATGCAATGCTGGGCATGGAATCCTATGCAGGAAAGTCATTTCTGCAAGCCCAATAAAAACTTGGTTTCAAGAGCTAAATGAGAATTGCAAGAAGCAGTATCTAAAAGAGGGAATAACTTGCTTCATGAGATGTGCATTTCCCCCCAGTTGTATAGTGTGTGCCATACATGCTGGAGCAGTAATTGCCCCAACCAGGCTCAAATAAAACCCACCCCAGATTTGCTTATAGATAACATCATGCAATCATCATCATAAATCAGTTTGATGTTTATTCTTGTCCCCACCCTGAAGGAACCCAAGGTGGCAAACTAACAAAGATTACAAACATTTTAGAAAAGTTTTAAAACCTAAAATAATTCATAAGCATTCCATAAGCAGGAGATTGCTACCAAGAAGGCCTAGATTAGGGCAATAAAAGGTGCTTTTATACCTTTCCTGAAGAGGGATCAAAAGACACTGAGGCTTACTCAGAACATGGCAGAAGTGTCTTCTGCTGTTGGCTTGCCACAGCTACAAGAAGTCCAAAACATCTAAGGCAGTCTCCCACAACCTGGTGCCCTCTAGAGGATTTAGACTACAATTCCCATCAGCCCCAGACCACATCGTCAATGGTCAGGGATGATGGGAGTTGTCCAAAACCCTTGCGGAAGTCTAGACTATCTATTAACATAGAACAGCTCATTTGCAATTCGGTCGTGTATTTCTATACTTCCAAACATGTAAAAAGAAACCTCAAGGTCGTGATCCCCATAAAATCATCAATAAAATACACTGCTAACAACAAAATTACACCAACAAATTAGTAAATCAGAAATATACACTACTAAACTGGATCACCCTTGAGTAAACAAATGTGTTTTAAGTAGGTACCGGAAATAGCAACACTATAGGTGCCTGCCTTACCAGGAGCTCATTCCAAAGGGCATGTGATGTAATACTGAAAGCCCTGGGTTTTTGCAGACATGAACGTCAGGAGTAAGCAGCACCTTTAAGAGTGTCTCCCCCAGGGATTGAAGTGACTGGGTAGGGATATACAAGATTAGGTGGTCCCAAAGATAATCTGGTTATTAAGGACTTTGTATGCTAATAGCAAGAGCTTAAACTTATTCATTCAATCTTACCCTGTAAAATGTGCATATCAACCAGTTCTGAGCGCTCAGGTCTGTTTCGGGTCTTGTGCTTTAAATAATCTTCAGTCTACAGAACATAAGAACAGAGATCATTACCTCACTAGCTTGATTTAAAGTGCATTAGGCAATGCTTCTTTAAAAGGATTCAGTCAGACTTGGTCTAACTGACGTTCATTTTAGTTAACATTTGTTCTTCTCTGGTAGGACCCACACCAAAAGATTCAAGTTACAGGAAAAGAGATTTCAGCTCAACATCGGGAATAATTTTCTGATGGCAAGAGCTGTTTGACAGTGGAACCGACTAAGCAGAAGCCATCTAGATCAGGGGTCTGCAACCTTTAAGACAAAAAGAGCCACTTGGACCCGTTTCTGAAGAGAAAAAAGCTAGGAGCCACAAAACTCGTCATTATAAAAATAACTTTTTTGTCACTTTTTATTATTTCTTTGTTTGACCCCTCAGAATTACTCCTCCTCATAGAAATAAACGTTAAATTTATTTGTGTGTGTGTTCTTCACTCCCCTTCAAAACAGTGACCAGCGTACATGCCCCCTTTCAATGCAGTGACCAGCGTACATGCCCCTTACAGTGTAGCAGGCAGGCGGGAAGGTGACGTCAGGACGGTGCGTGACTAATGCACACACCGCCCCCATGCGATGTCACAGCCAGTACAGTGCCCGCCACAGTGGGGAGTGTCAGGGCACACAATGCACCTCCTTCCCTCGCTAGTATCCGCCCCGGAGCCGCGGCAAAGGTGTAAAAGAGCCACATGCGGCTCTGGAGCCGCGGGTTGCAGACCCCTGGACTAGATGACCCTCAGGGTCCCTTCCAATTCTATAATTATCCCACAACTTTTTGTCTGGATACTGAATGTCTGTAGGCTAGGACTTGGATCTTTTAAGAGCTCCGTTTGTGCAAACCCGAACTTTTGGCAGGTTTCCCAGAATGCAAGTAACTTATAATTGGCACGAAGGAATCATAATACTACACCAACTTTTAATATGCACTATATTCAGCACAATTTCAGTTTAGCTTACGGCACAGATCTTAAACAAGTGTAAAATTCAGCCCTAAGTACCCAGCTGTATCAAAGTAAATTTATTTACTTCACTAGAACTCATCTAACAGCAGCTCTGTTGTGTTTTAGCTAATAGGTATTTAAAATCCACCGCAATTAAATTGGTGTAGTTTCATGTTATGTGTGAACAAAGATTTTCAAGTAGGCTTCCCATCAGTCCCTCTCAACCAAACTAGCTGTGAAGTGTTCTGATATTGCTTCCCCCTGCCAGCCCCCAGGCCCCTCCCCAGCTGAATAAAGGCTTAGAATATATTTTTGGTTCTACTTCTCCCTAAACGAATGTAGTTTAGGGCTTTTGACTCATATAATCCTTTTTTCTTCCAGGCAATCGGCCAGTAGAAGCCTTTGAAGGGAGACTGTGAGATATTAACCTATGCCTGAACATTGAAATATAGGGTACTTCTAAGATTCTTCAGACTTCTTGAAGTGTTCTAAGCACATTTATTTTTCACAGGGGGCTATACATCCTTCCTTACGTTGGTCTTGAATTTTTGCAGGACAGTCATATACAATAATGTAACATAGGCATCTTCTACATGTGTGCAGGTTTTTGATAAATGCCTATACATAAATTTCATCAAGAGTTTTGAAAGTAAGTTAATATATATGTACACAGAATTGTAGAGACTATAAAAGGATTCACTTGTTTGGCTTCCTGACCTAAATTTCCTCTACATATTAACTCCTATACCATAAACAGAGGAAATAAAGGATAAGGTGCACCACAAGTTCCCATTAAATGGGACAAGTTAACAGATGGCAACTACTACTACTAATACAAATTCTGAGCAAATCAAGTCATAGTTTCTAGGACATTACAAAGTTACCATATACTATTGTCCATCTAGCCCAGCATTGTCTATTGTAACTAGCAGCATATCTCCATATCTCTTTACCAATCTTGCTGCTGGTGTCATTGGACCCAGGTCGTCATCCGTGCAAAATACCAGCTTTATGAATGAGCTATAGGCCTCTCTATATATGGATTGTATTCTTTATATAAGAGAACTGCTATCAGTCTTGGAAAAGGCTTGTCTAAGCAGACAGTTCCCCAATTTCCCCCTTTGCCAAACTTCAAAATTCAGAGAAACACAAAATTTGAAGGATGGCCTTGTTTAAGTTTGCGTATTATTTCTGAAATTGCAATTTAGGGAGGTTCGCCTTTAAATGTAAACGGTATCAAATTTCTGCCCCCCCCCCCCGCTACACTTCTAGTAAGAGCCTTGGCTGGAGACTTGCAGCAGGGAAAGCTTGAGAATATCTTGTACTTTCTCTAAATAAGACCAGATCACCAGCTCTTCCACTAGTGGGGTAGGTGGGGGGGGGACTGCCTCTTAATCTTATCTTTCTCATTAGCTTTAATTAACAGCGCCTAAACGCTGCTTGATAACTGGTGCCAGCAAGAGACAAGAGTACAGGTTAAGAACAGCCCAAAAGCACTCTGCAGTGTCACAAGAAGAGAAGGGCAATATGGTGTACTGCAGACATCAGGCACAAGGTTTCCTACTGGGGAGATATATATATATACCACAAAGCCACTTTCTCATGGGACATATGCCAATTAAGTTTAGAGCCCTGTAAAGGTGTGCTAAAGGTATAGTAGTATCTGCAGAAATGAATCCAGTGATTTTCCAACATTCCACTCACATTCCTGCACATGGCCACAACCTTCTCAGCAGCTAGTTAACCTGCATGATGCCATCTCCAGCCACCCCCTCTGATGCCTACCCAGGGTTACCTTGGCTCTCTCCAAGCTCTTCTTTTGCTCATGGAAGGGAGAGGGGTTTTTCAGCGCTGCAACCAGAAACAGACAAAAGCACAATGAGCACAGCGAGCAACAAGTACATTTTCAGCATTGTGCCATTGTAACAAAGTTCAACAAAATTAGCCACACAAATCAGCCAGCCCCTTTATTGCATCAAATGAAAATGGATGAGGAATAACCACAGACATTCCCAGGCCAGGCTGTGGCAGTGGAAACGAGGCAGAGAGGAGCAAAGACACAGATGGTAACTAAAGCAGGGGGAGAGCTGAGAGTTGTTTGGAGACAGCCATCTTTTTTAAGGCATCTTAGAGGGAGGTGAGTGGCCTGGCGGTAAAGTGCAGCCTGTCCAGTATCCAAACACATTGGGTGAGAAGCTCAAGAGACAGAGCCTTGCACGTTAATCCTAGACGCATTTGGGGAGCTTGGTTTCAGTGGAGTTGACTTCCAGCTAAAGTGATCAGTCGGGGAGGAAGGATCTAGTTATGGAGAGGACCACCAGTGAGATTAATGTCCAGAGGAGACCCGCTAATAAAAATGAGAGTCTGAGTCTCATTGTATCACATGGGTGTCAGCAGCACATACAAAATCAGCAAGAAGGATAAATTGCTCCATTCTGCCACACATACTTTTCAACAATGAGCTCTCCTTCCTTCATCCATTGGCAAAATCTCCTTCTCAATATAAGAGAGTGAGCAGAATGCTCCAGTAAATTCTGATACTCTCCACCAGTGCCTGCTCTGTGTTCTGAACCACATTCCGGATATTTGTTTGGAGGACATATTTGTTTCTTCAGATTGCAGTTCCATCGAGATAAAAAAAAGAGGGTCGCCTCCTCCACCATATCTTAACGCCCTCCAGTGATAAACATGCTGTTAGGATTGAATCACAACTCTGTATTTGTCCTACAGGAATAAATGGCAGCAAGGAAAAGGCAGGGGCAAAACCTGCTCCTTGAACTCCACTCCCCAACTGGCAGTCCAGCCTTTTCCTATCTGCATAGTCTCATCATGGAGCCTTTCCCCCCTCTCCCTACCATCAGTGTTGGCTAGTTCTCACTGACTAGGAAATTTGTATTTCGTTGTACTCTATCACCAAGAGGGAGGCTGTCCCAGTGTGTTCACAGGCTTCGTGAAGATGACTTGGCACACAGTTCCCAGCTCATTTGGGTCTCACTCTCTGAACCATTTCTGGGTCTTGCTATTTCTTCTGTGTCATGGGTTAAAGGCATGAGAGGAAAGCATCGCTCTTCCCAAAGCTGCGCAAAAGCTCTTTATCTCATGGCTGAATTGTAGCCTTGTTATTTATACAGTGAAAGTTGTCCAGAATCCAAAAATAAAGATTGCGGACACAATTCTCATCTCCATTTTAATAAGTGTCAAATTATTGTTTGTTTGTTTTCTTTGCACAAAATGTGACTGGGAGCACAGTCAAACTGTGGGATAGGAAAATGAAAGGCCAAGAGAATTATATATAGTGTGATTTTTATTTATTTAAAAACCCTCTTTTTTTCAATAAAATAAAATAAACAAAACAACCCAAACTGCTTTTAACAAATGGCTTCTCTAGTCCCCACATGCCAGTTGTTACCTCCCGTCACCAAACGGATTTATTGTCAGAGTTATGAGTCATTTTGCATTGACGCAATTGGATGAGCTAATTTATTATTTGCCTCCTGTAGTTAACTAGATCCTAAAGCACGATAGATATTTTGTTTTATTGAAGACTCAAACCCTGCGCAACTAAAAGGCCAAACAAAAAGAAGAAGAAAATCTTAAAGTGAGTGAGTAAATAAAAAAGTGTCACAGAGCACCAAAGGCAAAGTTAGAGGAGACACCTCAGTGGTAAAAGACGGTTGTAAAACAGATTCTGGTAAACTTCATAGGGTGAAAAGCATCCTACTTTCAGATATTGCAAGAGCAATCTGAGAAGCTGGTGCACCAGTGCAGAGGCCTGGTTCACAGCTAGTGAGATGGTGGGAAGAGCTTTGAGAGAGCATCCGATAAAAGTAATCTGCAAGGCAGAAAACTAGTGTTGTTCTTCTGCACAGCTCAATTAATGCACATTACAGAACGCTACAACTGCGGGAAGTAGTGGAGGACAGAGGTGCCTGGCGTGCTCTGGTCCATGGGGTCACGAAGAGTCGGACATGACTAAACGACTAAACAACAACAACAACAGAACGCTACAGTTATGTAGGATCCATGACAAAGGATGGACGCAAAACAAAGGGACCTTTGCCAAGAGGATTGATGTGAATTCTGCAGACAAACCAACAGCATATGGTTGTCTGAGAAAAAATCTATGTCAATATGGGGTTGAATGGGTAGGTTCTTCCATGAGGGAAGTCGTGGCAGTAGTGGAAGTTTAGAAGTTAAAGTCTGGAGTGAGAGTACAATGATGAAAGGAGAATTACACACATAGGATTGTATCCAAAGTAGCATTGAGTAATATTTTCTGACAGAACAAGGATTTCCACTTGCACAGCTGGACTTACCTCCTCTCCCCTCTTGTGTGCTTCCTAAATCTGTTTTAGGGGCTCTCCAAACTCTCCAGCAGAGTAGATTTGGGGAGTGAGTTGGACACAAAGGAGGGAAAAGTCCCAATGTGCAAGCGGAAATCCTTGTGCTGATGGACCACGTTAGTTGGATACTGCCCCACAACACAGACCTGTCCTGAGCCTTCAGTTATCACAATTTTTAAGAGCATGTGCATTGAATAATGAGTATTGCAATTAAACATAATTAACTTTTTCGTTGTGCCTGCCAGGAAAGGTTACTGCTTTGGGCCATAGGGGTGGGAAGTGTTTTGTTTTCACAGAGAAAAGAAATCAGGAAATTGCTATAATTTTAAAAAACAAATAATAGATTTGAAATCTTATAGTTTATAGCCATTTTGATTTTAAAAGAGTGACATGAAGTTTGAATGCTCTGGTTTGAGAGGAAGGGTCCCAGTGAGAGTGCCACCATGGCGTTAAGAGAGGCTTGTCAGCTGTGTGACTTGCTTGCCGATGATAAATAGTGGCAAATCAATAATGAGTAAAACCTGTGTCTATCACCCAGTCATATGAATCTTTGTTCATACGAGTTTGGGTACATTGATTAATTTATTGATTAAACTTGCATACATTTGCATATGAGATAAAAACGGTTCTAAAGAAAAACGTACTTTGTTCTAAAATTATGCCCACAAGTGGCACAGTAGGCCTCATCTTTGAAGAGCTGCCCCCTGTTCTATCACACACAGAAGGACATGACGCTGCTTGACATCTGAAACTTCTTTAAGTACTTATGTTAAAAACTGATAATGTAGATATACCAATTTGGGGGCAGTTTGTCAGCTGATCAAATTAAACCTATTAACCTAACCAATTAACTGACTAAATCCTGAACCCCTACTAACACCACTAACTAACTGACTACATTTACACACCACAGTAAATGCTTTTGCCATAAACACAGGTAATGGTTTAAACATAAACACACAGGGACTTCCTGTTTTGATCATTCCCTAGCAGGAAGAACAAAACATAATCCCTAGTGTTACATCTGAATTGGAGATAGCAGTTTGTTTCACTCCAAACAAAGTTTGTTCTTGACTTACCAATCAAACTTAGTTTGAGTGAAACAAATCACAATCCTTGGCTCAGATATTATTAGGGATGTAAGAAAACATCATTTTCTGTTCTGACCTCTATGTGTTGCATGCAGCACTGTTTATGTTCCACTGCGCTTTGTCTTCCACAAAAAAACACTTTATCTGTATTTCCATCCACTGTGTCAAATTACGTACCTTATGTAATTTACATGCAAATGATGTTGCCATGATGTTATTCCCCCCTATTCATTTCAACGCAAAGGAAACACAATGCAAGTAGGGGTGGGGAAAAGTAATAATTTATGTATCATCTGTGGACTGAAAGCAGCAGCAACAACAGGTGGATTTCCATTTTGGACATGGGATGAATAAGTGAACATTGGCAATTTCCACTCCTGTTTCCATTTTTCTTGGAATTCTGCAGCATCCCCAGATGTAATGTTAAGCCAGGGATTGTGCTCATGCTTGTAATAGGGGAGAAGCAAAGCAGGTGTGATCTCCACATTCACAACAAACCATTAACTGTGGTTTATATTAATTGTGAACTGGGCAATGAGGCTTCTATATAGGCTTATGAGCCTTGTCAATGTGAGAAAAGGCATCAAAGGAGAAGGCAAAACAAAAACCCACCCTTAAATTAGGAGGGCTGGAAGACCTAATACTATGGACATGTGCAGAAAACATGTGATTTATTTGCTATATTTATATATGCTGCTCCTCATTTTTTGTGAGGTTCTCAGTGGTCTCCTATCCAAGTCCACACTCACTTAGTATCAATCAAGTTACATCATGTATTCCCAAGGGATTTGCTGGGCAGTGACTGCAAACGGGATGTAGTTGGGTGTAATTCTCTAACTACCTACCACTGATGAATATGTGAATGCCCAGGAACAAAAGTAATCAATGGGATCTTTTCCTACAACATAGGAAGCAGTATTATATTAAGGGCAATTACCTTGCCCTTTCTAAGTTTTGCATAAACCGATTAGGAAGGCAGTCGAGAAATGGGCAAAGATGTGCACTTTTTGTCAAACTCACCAGACAGGTATGAGATGCATGTATTTATCATGGGTCCTTGGGCGTTTTTTATATCCTTCAAAATGCATCTAGGGAAATGTCATATCTGAAATAGCCCTAAGCACATACTAGTTGAAGCCCATGGTCAAGCACTGTGTTCTAGAAAGAAAGATGTTTGGGACTGTGGAAGAGGGGGAGATGAAATAAGGTGAAAAGTCTGGAGTCATGGTGGTAACCCATTTGCCTCGGACGCCTAAACAAATGCTGCTATTCTTGCCTCCATACCCCTTGCCACTTTCTTTCTCCCTCTCTTTGAGGAGTAAAATGCCTTTTAGGGGGTAAACTAGCAGCCTTTATGGGGTGTCAGAACATCCCCTGACAGTTGGCAAACACCAATGACACCTCATTTTTGCAGAACATGACAGTTAATTCTGATAGTGGGATAGGATTAAACCTGCCAAGAACTTTGGGCAATGTATTAAATAAACAAGTCTATGTGGATCCACTCTGTCACACATAACATGCTGTACCTGCACTACATACACTGAAATGCCTCATGAAAATGCCAAACTGCTGCATGCACCATTCGTATGGAAGCGACAGACATTCCATGCCAACAATGTAGAATATTTTGCAGGAGGTGGCTTAAGAGGAAAGCAATAGCAGAGGCCAAATACAACATGCGGCACCCAAAGGCTTAGGCAGTCACTGTGTGGCTCAGAATCAGTGTGATCCAGCAGAGAGAGAGAGAGAGGGTGGGTACTTGGGGTGGGAGACCTGGATTCAGATCCTAGTTTGACCATGGACTCACTGGGTGGCCTTGGGCAAGGTGTTATCTCTCTCAGTCTCAGTTTCCCCATCTGCAAAAAATTGGAATAACAATGACCTGCCTCATAGGGTTTTGCAAGGTGCCCTACATCCTAAATGAGTTATGAAAATGATACAGTATAGTCTACTTCAGGAATAATCAAGCCCAAACTCCCTTTCCTGTGAGGCTCATTAGAATCCTAGATTTTGGGATGCATGTGTAAGTAATCTTCTAGTCCCGAGTTTAACAGTAATTGCAGTAACAAGCTGAGTATGTGATGGCAAAAATTCCATGCAATCTGTAGCGCCGGACCAGTTGCTCAACTCAATCTCCTGCTTATGATTGTACAAGAAATAAATAATTTTTGCAGCAGTACAGACTTCTCAGGGTGGGCACTATGTAAGAAGGTAACTCTCTGCCACAAATATTTCCTTCCTGCATAAGAGCTGATTCTTGCAGAGGTACATAGCACCAGATCTGTGTGTGCTAAAGTGGTGCACGTGTACAAGCCTGCTTTGCCCTTCTTAGAATCAGAAACAGTCCCTAATGATGCAAAGTTGTATTATATTTATTTGGTGGTGGATAGTGTGACCCTCAGCTGAGGCTGCATGGGCCTGCTAGTGCCTAAAAGATAAAAGTGAGAAAGCAAAGTACTCACGTGGCATGATTCCCTGGTTGGCGAGCTGCTCTCGGCTTCTTCGCTGCTGCAGCCGCAACTGTAAAACTGGGAGAGAGTGCATCTTTCAGAAAGGGACCTCGAACTTCTGCCACAAATAACTCCAAACTTTTCATTTGCTGAGATACCTTCCGCTCTGCTGCTAAAGAGGGAAGGTTCAGATCTCTATCACATGCCAAAAAAAGGAGTCATCCTTGTTACAACAGCAGTGTAGATCTGACCTATTACTGGAATGCAGCTTTCTTATTATCTTACTAAAACTAAGCCAATTAACCTGGAGTTTGGTCAAATGACCATTTCCCTTTCTCCATCCTCTCCACACACACACACACACACACACACACACGTTAACAACTTCATAACGCAGCAGACACAGTTGCTAATGTTACTACATTACCAAAAAGATGAAAATTTATCAAGCTATTCTAACTGTGCTGCTTATTAAGATTTTCGAGTAAATGCTTCTCTGCTACACATGTTATTTAGGGTTGAAAGAAGAGGAGCCTTTTGCAATAGTTTCCATTCTAGAGTTCACAGGAAACAACTCAGAGTTACAAAAAAATTTGCTGCAGATCTGGAAAACATGGTCCACACGGATATGTGCTGCTCCATTAGCTTAAAGAAGGAAAGGGAGTTAAAGAAAATGAATTATCTATGATCACATTTACATGAAAAGGTAGACAGGATTTGTTTTATATGCAATAGATATGCTTGCTCTGCCAGGCGCAGCCAGGAGATGATCCACTGGACTGAAATTCTAGCTTAAACAAATTCTTAAAAATTTAGTTTGAAATGAAAAGCAAACCAGCACACCATCTTGTGTAGGGATGAAATTGATGCTCTTGAGATTTGGCCCATTTTAATGAAAGTGATGAGTGGATGTGGCTCAAAATGAAAAACTGTCTAGGAAACTATGGCCTAATGTACATAACAGGTCTGCCTGCAGCTATAAATAATCCAACTTAATCTTGACACCTCTGACATATATGAAGTCCAGCCTGCTCCCCCTGTTACTGCTTCAGTTCCTAGGAGCCAGGCTAGCTGTAGGGACAGTGAATGCCCTTCCTTCTTTGCACCTCATTGCACGATGGAGAGCCACTTGTGTTTGGCAGATCATTAGCTTGCCCTGGAGAACAAACACTTGCCTTGTGTCTCTAGAACTGACATATCTATCAGGGGTGCAAATAAAAACAACAACCAATGTCTGCAAATTTCAAATCAAACCTAACAGTATTCTGAACATTTGATGAGGGAAGACGGAAACTAAAGAAACTTTTGTCTGCTTTGTAGATATATGAGGCGTTTAGCAGGTGAGGGTCAATTTATTCATCACAGTCACTATAGGAGGCCAATCCAAATTGCTCCGCATATTGTACATGTAGACTTACTATTCTAAAGCTGCAACCTTAGTCATAATTCCTAGAGAATAATTCATTATGGTGGAACTTGGAGTAAACATGCATAGGATTGCACGGCAACAGGATGGTTTTCACCGTGTCGTTACCAAATTTTAGATCGGGAGCTTCCAGAGTGGTTGTTTATTTAGCATGCATATGTGTGCACAAAACATATGTGGCAGTTATATGATATCACCTGCTTACTTGGCATTCATTCAGGTGCAGGTAACCCAATACCCCCAGTGACTGTTACGCAACACTTCCCAGTGCAATTTCCCACCACTTTTCTTATCACTTTCTCCTTATCAGACTTTTAGTGGTTATAAAACTAACAGCATAATTGCACTAGAAACTGTGGAATAATAACCATTTTTTTTGCATATTAACATCCCATCTGGAAATGCCCTTCATCTCTATAAAACTGAACTTTTAATCAGCAACAACCCGCCCCCCCCAAAAAAACCCAAAACCCATCTCAACTTAAGCAAAGAGCTACTGCACATTATGGCTAACCACATAATTTCCACAATGAGTGATTAAACTGGCCTCCACACGGTGAGCTTAATATATAAACAAACCCTTAACTTAATATATAAATCTGCCCTTTTAAATTTCCATTGAAATATATATATAAAGAATGGAATGCGATATATATATATATATATACACACACACACACACACACACACAAAAATACATATTATCTCAATAGGATATACAAAACATTTTGTGTGTGTGTGTGAGTGAGAGAGAGAGAGAGAGAGAAAGAGAGAGAGTATTTCATTTCTCTTCTATGTAAAATGTATTTTAAAAGAAATCTACAATAGTGTCAGATTTTCATAACCATTCAAATGCATCTGATGCTTCATTCGTGTTGGCAACGTCCTCATCTTTGCTGGAATTAGGTCCTGTACCAGTGACTTATCAGATACAGTAATTTAAAAGACACCATTCAGCCCTTTAACAAATTAGCTAATTAGCTAATGGATCAAAGATTTAACCTTTCGGATATGTTAGAGGGTCTCAGCCTTTAAATCAGCAATACTGGGTTGTGAAGAACACGAAGCTTGTCTTTTTCATCAGAACAAGCTCTGAGGAACTGGGTGGGGAAACCCTCCAATTTCCACAAACAATCTCTAAGAAATGAGAACTGGAGACAAATGGCTTCCTTGGGGCACCAGCACCCTCTTGAAAAGCTCTCATGATTTGTTTATGCTTGCACAGACTTAGCACTATAGAGGGATTAAAGCATCTGTTTGCGTGCTGCTTTAATCAGGGCTAGCAAGGAACTTGCACACTTAAGAGATGTCACTTCGGCAGGAGAACATGGGAGGAAAGAGATAGAGAGGCGGGAGAGGCAGCTCCCAAAGGTCTGGGCTTTTTGGAAAGCATGGCCTGTTTCATGTGGTCTCAGGAACCAGATGCAAAGCTTTGATGCCACTAAAACTTAACTGCAAATGCATCAAAATACTCCCCGTTCGCTGCAAAGCCCAGTATCCACAGTCTGGAAGGCAGGCTTGGATGAATGGCTGCCACCACATAATCCAATTACATCCTTTAATTTCAGTGGTTAAGAATGTCAGATCTGCACCTTAAACACATTTCCCTGGAAATAATAGGCCCCAGGAATTTCAACGGAATTTGCTTCCCAAGAAGACACACCAGAGTATTGGAATCCCAGGTGTTTAAAATGCCTGAAATGCAAAGTTGTAAAGCATGGGTAGGCAAACTAAGGCCCAGGGGCCGGATCCGGCCCAGTCGCCTTCTAAATCCAGCCTGTGGACGGTCCAGGAATCAGTGTGTTTTTACATGAGTAGAATGTGTCCTTTTATTTAAAATGCATCTCTGGATTGTTTGTGGGGCTTGCCTGGTGTTTTTACATGAGCAGAATGTGTGCTTTTATCTAAAATGCATCTCTGGGTTATTTGTGGGGCACAGGAATTCATTCATTCCTGCCCCCCAAAAATATAGTCTGACCCTCCACAAGGTCTGAGGGACAAAAAATTTGCTGGCCCCTGTTGTAAAGCATTTCTTTTTACGGATGAGTTGCTCCAATGTTAGGGTTGCCATATGTCCCTTTTTCCAGGACACGCCTTCTTTTTCATGGGTAGAGTCGTCCAAGCGACCCATAGTTAAAAGTAGAAGTCTGCAAATGTGTCCTCTTTTTTTGCTCTTCAAAATATGGCAACCCTACTGGTACTACTGATTTTATTTTTTAAAAATAAAGCTGATATTTAATGCCTAATTTCATGATTGGGATTTTGCTTGCAGTGTTTGTGTTCTAAAGAACAGCAAAAGTCACAAAAAAGAGGAAAAACCAAGAGAGAAAGTGGGGTGGCAAAAAGAGAGAAAGGGGGATCGATTTTTGGCTCTGACCCTGCCCAGTGCCGGCTCCAGCCCCACCCACTGCTGGTATGCAGCCCCTTGGAAAATGTTCCTGAGGGAATGTGGCCCACAATAAAAAGATACAGAAGTTACCCAAATGAAGAAGAATGGACAAATAGGGATAAATAGCACTCACTGGAAGACATTGAACTGATTTCTTTCATCTGCTCTCAACTAGCAGGTGTGCTATCAGCCAACAGGACTAGTAACAGAACTAGCAAGTACTTCGATACAATGAAAATTAACACCAAAAACATTTAAGCACAGGTCCAGAATAAAGCCTTTTCCATATTGTATGTATTTGGTAAAGAGGTAAGTGCAACGATATGATAGACGATTGATTGTTTTTTAAATAAAGTGCATGTTTCGTAGAAACTTACTGTGGATAACACTTCAGCAATAAGATGGAATCCTTGTTTATATCCACAAATGACCCACTGGCAATTACTACTGAATGGACATGTTGTGAAGATGCCCACTGGAAAATACTTTATAGATCTGGCTTCTTTTTCCTGATGGGTTTTTAAAACAAGGCCTGTGCTTATTTCACAAACATAAACTGGCTGTTACAGAAATAGTAGGCAGGACATGCAATCATTGTTTCATTGCTTCTAGTATGAAAAAAATACAGGCTACACTGGCATCACTAAGCTATCAACTCATAATCTCTTCATAGAAGTTAGCCTGACCCCACAGATCTGTTGGCTAAGGCAACTTGCCAGTGTGTTTGGGTAGGGAGTAAAATGTATGGGTCACTCACATTTGAAGTTTGCTCCTAAGCAACAAAGCTGCAGTACAGCTGGTCAAGCCCAGCTGACATTTAATCCACAGCTATTTGGAGTTCGCTAACAAGGCACAAATTAACTCTTTTTGCTCCCTTAATTTCATCCCTCAGAGATCTTGTGGTGCTCCTAGGTCACAGAAGTGCGACTAATTTGGACACTCCACCTCATAATTAAGAATGAACCTAGATAAGATGCTTGTGTATATTGTTAATCTAATATGAACAAACCCAGGATCTCTAATAGCCATTACAGTAATGTATATATTTGAGGCATGAAGGTTTCTGCTTTGAGGCAAGAGGCTGGGTTTGAAAATCATCTACCGCCTTGCAGACCAATAATTCTTTGATATAAGCTCCAGAGGTACACAAAACAAACAGGCCAAAAAAATTTCACCTTGTCCGTTCACTCAAAATTATGTATTCTTCTATTATTAGATCAGCAGTTGAAAGAGAGAATGAATTATCAATACTTCAAGAGGTTA